GGTAAAATTTGGTTCCAGTGGTACTGACCCAGTAACACCCAACAACCTCCCCCATTCACCTCAGACCACTGTATACAGAACGTCACCACTTTTTCATTGCAATTCCTTTTATCCGAATTCTAACTCTGAATCTACCAGGTATCAGAACTTTGTCCCCTTTGGTCCTATACGGTAAAAATTCTAATTTGGTTCAACAATCCGAATGCAGCTGAAATCATTCGTTCACATGTCTGCCACCAGTGGCACTATAACCGGTTTGTTAACAATAATTGCTATGATAAACAATAAAATTTATCCGTACCATATCATAAAATAAAATAACATATTTTATGTAAAAAAGTAGCTCTTTCCACACTCAAATCATCCTCTGGGCAATGCCACACATTTCATCTGGGCATTCAACCAGCTGCCTTAGACGTGTGTGTGTGCACGCGCGTCACATCGGGGGAAGGATGTGGGTGGGTGTGAGTTGGCGACAGTTATAGCCCACTGCCTCACTGCACATGTTCACCTCCCACACATACATACCCATGTTCTTAATTTTTCGTATTTTATAGATTTATATTATATTTTGTTTATTTCTAAGCCACATTAGAGTACTGTATTGTAATGTTTACTCTTGTTCTAGGTTAGGCTATAATTTGACTATAATATCCTGAGTCAGGGGAGGCCAAAATGCCACAATTTCTGGTAGATGGCGGGACGGGCAGTAGCGGCGTACCCATCAACAGAGGTCCTACAGGTACAGTACACAGTACCATTGCCAAGCGCACCACTCATTTGTTATTACAAAATTTTTTTTTTTTTTGTTATTTCCATTATTGGTAGCAACATTCTGACATGTTTTGCCTTTGCATCTAACAGTCATTTAGCAAGGAAGGGCACATTTAAATAATTTGGGGAATATTTAATTAGTAATGTCACAGAAAATTATACCAACATAAAAATTTGCCAAATTTCACCTACTGGGAGCCTGCACACAGCTTGCTGAATCTAGTGATCTGAACAGTCCTCCCAGCCAGTTACAGAGTTTATTGTACACATTAGGCCTGTTGCTCCAAATTCTGAGAAAAAACCTATCCAGCAACCACCAGGTCTCCAGCATGCCTGATAAATGGTCCCATACGTGTAGTTAAGTTACTAATTTACAATACGTAGTTAGGTAGTTTTTTGTTTGTGAACGGATTTAATTTTTTAGGTATCATATTTGGGTTTTCATGTCATTTGGGAACCAAGCCCTATTTTTCTCATATGTTATATTATTCGATTTACAGTACTGTACAAATATTCACTTAATAAATGTTTTTTAAGGAACCTAACCCAGTCATATAGCAAGGAACACCTGTATTTAGTATAACCGAGTATGGCATATAAATAAAAATACTTTGGTGGTAAAAACATTTATACTGATTGTATAACGAATAACAAGGATTCGTTGTACCTTTACTACTGAATACACTATACTGTAACCTCATTAATTTAAAAAGAAAAAAAAAGTGGGGGCTCTGGGTCACTCGAATTACCCTGTATTGAAAATCTGAATTAACCGAGTTCGGAATATTGTACTACCGGGTATACTTTATTTTGACAATTTCTGATTTTTTTTTTTAAAGTGTTCGTTTTCTGTTCAGTTTGTTCAGATTGTTCCTCATTATTCTAACCAACAAACATACTCGGTTACCATGTCTTGGCTGCCACAAAAAAATATTCTATTTGTAATCACTCTGCAAACAAATATTGTTTTTAATGTACAAACCGTAATAAGAAAGTAAATAATGCAGTGATAAATACTGTAAATGTAACATTTGCTGTAGATGATATTCCGAAAGTGTAATGGTCACACTGGTAAATGAAGTAAAAATGCACATTAGAGAAATAAAAGACGAAATCTTGGAACTGGTATACTACTGTAGGACCATCTGTACTGTAATCTTCTTGATGACAGTACAGTATCTGAAAATGAACGAAGAATCTGAAGCCATTCTGAGATGACTAGCCCGATTCTGCTCATTCTCACATCCATCATGCCCAGGAGTTCGGGAAGTTTTTATTGAGAGTATATAGTTAATTATAAATAGAATATTTTATACGGCAGCCAAAGTGACTTTTCAGAACCGTTTGGTTATTTCAGATTCATTCAAAATTCAAATCGTTTAATTCACTTTTGAAACAGAACATGCGAATTAAGCCAAAATCTGAATTATAAGTATCTGAATTAATGAGGGTACACTGTAAACGGAATTTAACATTCACCAGACATGGCGGAACAAATAATTTGAAGAGGCTATTAAAAATGTCTTGGCATTGCATGAAGTTTTAAAAAATGCCGTGTTTTAAGTAATGTAACTTCAATTGTTATCCGATAGTTGTTTGGTAATTTCAGCCGACAGTTAAGCAAAGTGACGTGCGTACTGTAGTTAGGGATGACACATACCATATATAGAGGATATACTTTATTTTGTACAGTACAGTAATATATATATATATATCCAAAATTAACTAATCTGCACATGTCTAATAACTTAAAAATTTCCTAGATACATGATCTTCACTTACAATAGCATAAACACACAAATCATCCAATACCTTCAGATGAAATTATCATCATATAAGATCCTAGGCTTCATTCATCACATCTTATCAGGGGCAGATCCCGGGGGAGGGGGGCTCCCCCTTTTCATAAGAAAATTTCAATATACTTTTCTTTAACCTATTACTGTACTCAGGCATTTTTGTATTGTAAAATGTAATTACTATTGACCCCAGAATATCTCCTAATATCAAGTGCATATGGCCTCAAAATGCCACTGATATTGATCAGATTAAAAAATAAATAAAAATCTGCAGAGTGGACTTGCTGTGCTCGTCATGTTCTCCCACCCACAACTTCTTGGACCCCCCCTTTGATATTCCTGGATACATCCCTGCCTTTTCACTTGTTGCGAAGGTCTCTCATGTTCTCCACTACATTTGTAGAAGGTTGCTTCACTCATAAAGGAGAACTGAAATTCTCAACTTAAGCATGACAAATTACAATTTAATTATAGAAAAAATATTTAGTACACACAGGAGGTTGCAAAATAAGTTTTCATAGCATATACATTTGCAGTTCTGTTAATTTATATAATTTAAGAAATGCCATGAGGTCATTGAAGCATCCTGATGTTGTAATAACAACAGAATTAATATACAAGATTTGTTCTTGCATCAACCCAGGTTAATTTCCAAAAATCCACAAAAGCACCACATGAAAGCATATGAACTACAAACATTTATACTCCTGATAAGATTTGCTATGCTTGAAATTGCTGTAATGTTACATATTATACTTGTTTCATGTACAGTATTATTGATGTGCCAAATACTGTAATACAATAAAGTTGCTTTACGACTTCAAAATAAATATTTTTAAGGAAGACTGTAAACCCTTTGATAACCATGCAAGGTGTTTTATGGAAATTATTTATATGTTTTTAATTAGAAAATATTGGTATAAATTTAACCATGACTGTCTGTTAATGTAACTGGGGTGGGTACTTTCACAATACTTTAGATAAAATAAGTTGCAGAAGACAAAAAGTTAGGAAGATGTAAACATAGTACAGTTACTGAGGTCAAACAAGTACAGTAACCACACTTCACATTAGGAAAAATGTAAATTAATCAATCAGGATAATGAAAATAGGTTAAGATTAATTGAAGGGTTAAGAAGTCAATATTCATCTTAAATATACAATAAATATCTCGGAGTAAGACACTCCTGTGTGATAATTCCACAGATGGAAAACAACTTCTCTTCTTTTAACAAAGTTCTACTAAAATAATGAAACTATATTTTCAAAACTATCTGAAGTCTTTCTGAAACTGGGTAGGTGGGGCGGCCACATCACATTCCTAACAAGTGACAGCTGTTCATACTGATGAATGAATTGTACGTATAAATATTTTATATGGAAACATTCAGTTTCCTCCTTGTCACTGAAAATACTCCAGTTATTCTATTTCAACTAACTGAAATTGTCACAAAAGTAAAATTGTAAAAATCAAAATAGCATCACAGATAATCACAGAGGCGATAAAAAGTATAGAAGGTACAGCTAACTTCCTGCTGGTAATGAATTCATTACCAATGTTGAGATTATATTTATGCAGCCAGAAATTATAATATTTGTACAGTCTACCCCCAATTTTCATTTTAAGTGTGTGTGTGTGTGCACACACAGCTTCACTTGTACAGTTTGGTAATTGTGACCCTTTATTTTTTTTTGTACATGGTCTAAACTTGCTTAAACATGGTCACTATGAGCTATAAGGAAATTGCATGTGCTGCTTCGTCATCCAAGTCACGCCACCCGTTACCTTGCAGGGCTAAACAAAGGGGACATTACAAAGGTACTCAAACTATCCAACCAGGAGCGAACTCGTAACAATGGTTTTAAATTAGACAAATTTAGATTTAGGCGTGAAATTGGTAAACACTGGTTTGGAAACAGAGTAGTGGATGAATGGAACAAGTTACCAAATATCATCATTAACTCGAATACGCTGAATTGCTTCAAACATAGGTTGGATGCTCATATGAGCAATAGGGGTTGGGTGTAAACGGGACTGCCCAGTATGGGCCAATAGGCCCGCTGCAGTTTCCTCCATTCTTATGTACAGTAGTTGGGTATTGTCTAGCATTGTTGAGTAAACACTAACTGGTCTGCTCACTTTTACTTGTAATTTATTGCCTTCATTAAGTGTTTACCATGAACTCAAAGGGGAAAGTAGCTGAAACTAATATGACATAGGAAGCAGAAAATATAGCAGACTTTAGTACAGAAATTGAAGACCTTATCTTCTATGAAGATTCATTTATAGAATGGAGCTTGAAATTCAAGAGATTGAAGGTGTACAAAAATTTGCAGAATAAAGCCAAACTTATTGGATGAATGAGGGAGGTCATTTTGTGAGCCTGGAACCCCTTAGCACAGTATTTTTCAAGAATATACCGTAACTACCTTGTAAATTGAGGGCTGACTGTACTTCGTTTCAACAACTTAAAAAAGGAACAAAATAAATACAGTATTTCTACCTGACCCACAAGTAAGCACCTTTTTGTAAAAAAATAGTCATGCTGTTCAAAATAAACTTTTCATAAATCTTGCCAAGGGCTGAGCAACAGAGAAAGTCTATAATGGTTTGTGTGTTAGTATACAAAAGAAGTATGTCTGATACAGCAAAACTAATTATTCATCCTCTTCTGTTGAATCATCATCATCTCCAAATACTTCCTCACCTTCACCTACTCCACCAAATGTCTCTGTCAAGTTAGATGTTGTCCAGAATCTTCTAGAAACTGCTTGTGCCTCAGCTGCAACCTCTGCTTGGAAACCTATATTCTGACCTGCAGAAAATAGCTCCATGCGCTCTTCTATTGTTTCTGTGTGTTGAGCAGGAAGAGTGATGACACTCCAGTCTATCTGGTGAGAACTGTCCTCATCAATATCTTTATTATGGACAAACTCTTCATCTTTCATAACTTCCACTTCACAAAATTTTGGTGGTGGAGATTTTCCCTGTCCAATTAAACAGCTCTTAAATTCAGTATCAAAAGTGACATCTTTCTCCTCCTTTGACACACCACCAATACCAGTATCACATTGCACAGCACCAGCTTTTACATCTGATAATGGATCTGTACCTGTGTCCTCATTTGCATCATTCTTATCACCAGGCTGGTCTTCACAACCAAATTCCTGCTCAGAATGATTGTCTTTGTTGAAATCACTTTTCTGGACAATAGGAAGACTGAAAGTATGTTTTTCCTCCTTTTGGAACTTCTTTCCATTATCCTCAATTTCTTCATTGTCAAAATTGATTAATTCTTTAGGATCTTTGCTATTTTTAGAAGATTTTAAAAATGCCACAGAAATTGGAGCTCTCTCTTCTTCCTCATCACTTTCTCTCATTCTGGTTTTCTCATCCTCATCCAATTCCTGCTTAATCTTTCTGTATATCTGCAGTCTCTCCTCATCACTATCAGTTTCTTCTTCATTATCTTGTACGACACAATCAAGAGATAGTTTGTTTTTGTTTAAAAAATGACATGATGTATCACACTGAATTTTTACTTCTTCTACATCCTCATCTATTTTTAATTCTTCAAGAGTTTTAAGAGTACTACTATCACTGTCATTAGTTAAGTTATCCAGCAGTTTCTCCTTCTTAAAGTCTGACTTCCTTCTTGTTTGCTCAGTCTGTGTACCATCTACATTAGAAGCCTATAATAGGTGAAACATTTGAGAATCAGTTTACAAAGATAATGTTAGAATAAACAAGGGAAAAATTTATAACAAAATCAAGGACTTTAATACTTAAGGAATGCCACAACATTGGCTTAAAACTCTGATATAACAACAGATGGAATGAGGGATATCATTAAAATATATGAAGCCAATAATACCGGTTCTGTACTATAAATGTCAACACCTTTAACAAGACTAAAGAGAGAGTAACATGTTCATGTGGAACCTGCCAAGATGCAGTTACCTACCAAGTTCTAACAATGTGTCAGTTATGGCTTGTATTCACAGTCGACATGCCTGATTGTGAGCCGATCATAAGGAGCTCGAAGCTTATGTAAGGAGACGTTCAAGAACATGCTTCGGGCACTATGACGGGTCAGGATCCTGATCCACCGGGTAGGGCTAAACAAGTGTAAATCGGCTGGATGGCCCAATTGGCCCACTGTTGCTACAACCCAGGCATTGAGTACCAACACAAAAAAAATTCATCATACGTATGATCAAACGATTATAAAAGTGCTAAAACGATATCTATGGTATATGAAAATTATTATTCTCTGGTGTCTGAGGTTTGTTTTGAAGGTTATATTTCACAGGGTGTTGGCCACACTGGGATGGCTGGTGGTTGGTGTGTCGAGAGTAAGCTGTCACAATATAGCGCGAGAAATATGGATAGCCGTGAACGTAGTGTACTGCTGTCTTTTAAACAGCCCAACGCTCTAGTTAGCCTCATTCATGAGAAGTGAAAAACTACAAGACAAAGCATCTGACCCTTGGAGCTGTGATAAGAAGAGAAATGCTTTGTTTGTTTGTTGATGCACCCTTATGATCAGCCGGGATTATTTAACACTTGTAAATACAGTGGGGTACCCTGTATGATATAACGAACGGATTCTACTACAAATATTCCTATAACGAATGGTTTTACCTATAAAATTGAGAATGCTACGAACGCAACTCCTACAACGAACGCGGATGAATATGGGACTATTTCGTCTGGCGCATGAATATCGTTGTACCGCGGCTCACAACAAGAGCGTCAGGCGCCATATCGGTTCATTGTGTAGTCAGTGCACCACTGAACTTGTTGAAATTTCGTCTTTTGATGTGGAAATTCGTGTTATTTTTATAACTATTTTGTTATACAAGTGTACAATTGTAACAATGAATCGTCAAAAGCGAGTGAGAGAGCTAATAACCCTTGAAACTAAGAAGAAATTATAAATAAACAGACAAAGTGCCTGTAAGACAGTCACCAAAGAGGGCTAGGAAGGATGACTCCTCTCCTTCCACCTCTTCTCCATAATTCTCTCCTCCCCCCTCCTCCTCTGCCTCCTGTACTGCATGCTAAGAACACTAAGGTAAGATAAAGTACCGTATTTTTTTACAATTTCCGCAGAAATTTTTCAGTGTTAAGTGGTTGTATTTAGGGGCCTGGAACGGATTAATCCTATAACGAACGAATGCTACAACGAACGAGGTTCTAGAACCAATTAGATTCGTTATAGCATACCCCACTGTAACTGATAATATTTTAATATACTGTATACTACTCTACATCAATATTTGGAGGGTGAAATTTTTTTTATATTCATCGGGACTGCCATAGGGCGGGTAACCCTTCCTGATGAATTGTTCCAATAATCCCAATAGGAAACCCTATCCACCCGTACTACCTTTGGGTCTGTAGGCGGCCCAGAATAACCACACACGACGGTGCTCTGGATCGGTCGGGTGGTGTAACGACTGTGAATATAGCCCATAGTGTTGAAGATACAGTATCCATGTAATCTAACCTTAATAGGCGACAGATGAATGGTAAGAAACTGTATCCAATTCAACTTCAGCAGCCAGAGGAAAATGAATGCAAAAGTGGGGAAGGTCTATGCAACCAAATTGAAATCCCACCTGAGGAGGTATGTACATATACAATCCTCTGGTCCCACCTTGAATTTATATTTAACCAGCACACCACTTACCCTGTAGCACAGGAGGCTGCTGCCACAATATTCCATCTCTTGGAAAAACTCAGAGTTACCAAATATAACTCCTATCTATACAGTACAGTGAGCAATAACAATAATGTACCCTAAATTTCACAATTTTTGCAACTCTCGGTGGTGATATTGACATATCCCATACGAGAGTGTACTATATTATATTAATGACATGCAAAACTGAAACTTTTGTGTACTATTGTACAATGTACTACAGTATAAAAATTTTTTGATGGAAGCTAAGACATGCAAATGTGTAAAAATTCTTGTAAAATTTAGCTTTGGATAGTAATTACAAAATATAACTAAATATAGAAAAAAAAATATTGCTAAAAACTGTACTGTAGTACTAAAACCACAGATTTCAGAAAAAAAAAGCAAAATTGTACAAATGATTGTAAAGGTGGTAACAGTAAGCTACACATATCCCAGCATGGTGACCCCACCAAGGTTATAAATTTTATAACCTGATAAACTGGGTAAGTTGTATTTTTTTCATCAGTTACCATGTTACTTACTGTATGTCTACTGCAACATAAAACACAGGATGCAGTTTTTTCTTTTGGAAAATTGCCCCGTTAGACTGAGAGGAGGGAAAATAACCCACCCATTCATGGGATGAAAGTGATACTACTGGAGATGTGTCAGACAGGGATATCTCAGTGATGATAAGACAAATTTCAGAGAAAACAACATCTGTACGTATCTCATAAAACTTTATGGGTGGTGTAGATGTAAAAGAAACAAATAAGAGGAAGCAAAAGCTAAAATAGCTAACAGCAATCTCTCTTATTTAGTCCAAAAAGCAGTACAATAGATCTGATAGGAAATGGAAGAGAGAAGAGACAAGGTGACTCAAATGCCTAAGCAGTATTCTCTAATATCATTTCAACATTTAGTAATATTTATCTAAGATTGCAAAACAAATTTCATATAACCTACCTGTGCCTCCTTCACATTCTGTCTATTTAAGGCATCCATCTCACGCTTTTCCCACATCTTTCTCCTCTTCACTAGGACTGGCTGCAACTCGCTAAGTACTCGCCTCCCCTGTGCCTTCTGCTGTTTGAGAATCTGCCGTTCCTTCCTAGCATTTGTTTTCCAAAAATCATCATCATAGTCTCCTTCCTGTCTATTACAGGATTCCTCATCAATATAAGCCTCAAATACTTCATCTTCTACTACTGGCTCTTCCATATCGTACAGCACAATAGCTGGTCTCTTTACCTCCTGGGAGGAAACCGTATCTTCTACTTTATCAGCATTATCCAGGTGTTCCATCTTTGGAATTATTACACTGTCATTCATCCCATATTTTCGATCCACTCTTGCTTCTGCTTCCTCTAAACACCATTGACAAGAATCTAACTCTGTTTTTAAAGCATCAAGTTGTTCTCTCATATATTCATATGAGGGTAAAACCTTAAGTTTTTCCTGTTCCAACTCTTGAGAAAAAATCATCGAACTATTGTCACTTTCAAACATATTTTCAAGACCCTGCACTCTAAACAATGCAGCTTGCATATGCAGACTCAAGCTATGTAAGGCTATGTATACATTCTTCTTCTTTTCCTCAAAACTAACAGGTTTTCTTTCCTCCTCTCTATCTTGAAGCCAAAATGACCTTGTGTACTCAAGATGACTGATTAGGGTTTTGGTGTCTCTACTGACCAGGAAAACTTGCTTATATGAGAATAACTGATTACGAGAGGAATAGAGTTTATGAAACATTGCTGGTTTATGAAGGCATAGGAGCAGCTCTGTTAGAACAGCTGAAACCTGAAGCTTTGCAACAGCTACCCATTTCTGTTGAATATAAATAAGATTAGAAAAAATAACATGGTAAATCATTAATTAAAAATTTTTTTTTATAGATTAATGTATCATTAAAATAAAAACTTATCAACATAAAACAAGGCCAATTTATTATTCATACATTGCCAAAGTTATAGATGAGCTAATTTTTCTGCATCCAATACAAATGACAGTGGCTGCATAAAATAAAATGAAAGGATAATAGTATTAAGACAAAATGAGTTTCCGGTAACCTTCTTGATCCTACAGTACTTAAAATATTAGCTGAAATATTTCCCTTAAGTACAGTATAGTAGTTTACGGGTAAACAATCAAATACTTGAAATCCTATGGATAAATCAAGGATCAAGCTAATACAGTAGCCTAAGGTCATTTTGTGATTTTTAATTAGATTTTCATTTGGCGGGTACCTAAATTATTGTGTAGGTGCTCCTCTACTTACGAATATTCAAATTAATGAAGTTGGAAAGATACTAACATCGTCGTTGAGGGGAGTTACGTGTCAAAGCTGGTGTTTAATGTGGATAAGACTGGATTATATTGGGAGATAATGTTTTATTGAACATATTTTACATTTCAGAAGAGTATACCAGGTGTTAATTCTGTAAGCATGGCTATTAATGCAGACATGCCTGTTCTCTCATGAGTTATAAATAAAAAGCATTGTGAGAACAATACCCAAGCAAGTACCAGTACATTTGGGTAAAGCCCCAAAGAGCAGAAAGCACCTTACCAAGGATAAACTTGCAGTGCTAGCTGTGGTCAACAATATGTAATGCTCTGTTCCCGAGATAATGCAGAAATTTGGAACTCTGAATTTACTGAAAGCATATTGTAAGTGTGATCCACTACTTCTCCATTAAAAGTGAAAGCAGGTCCCTTATACACTTACATAACCTAATTACTTAACGTATTGCTAGCTAAGCTGTGGCCTTGAGATGGGTATGCATGTTGCCAATGATTCATGTAATGAAACTGTAAAAGTTGTTGAAAAATCTTTTCAATACACTAATATGACTTAGAAATAAAGGAAATATTATATAAAATAAAAAATTTAAATGAAGAGCATGAGTGTGATAAGTATTCTGTGTGTATGGATGCGCCATGTTCTCCCAAATGTGATAGTTATGGCATAGCCACGTGCCTCTCAAGTCAGCTGGCTGGCTGGACTCGTCCAATCTCGGTGTCACCCATAGGATGGTTCGAGGGTGGAAGGAGCTATTTTTTGAACAGTACAGTATATAAAATATGTGCTACTGTATTGTTAAATCTACCTATGACAATGAAATGAATTTTGTGAACATATAGACTTCATTGCCAGAGGTATACAGTATTGTATACATCCACATCATCCACTTTATCTCACACTGTACAAGGCCATCCATGCGACCTATGACCTAAGCTGTTGTGTCAATAGGGATGTAATTACCACAATCAATCATGCCACATACATACGTACCTTGGGACTCAGGAACCTTCAAAAATCTTCTTTGTGGGTCTGAAAGCTTCTAGAATCTAGATCCTTAACTGTATCTTAACACTTTAAATACAAACAACTGAATTTACTGAAAGAATATAGGTATGATTATTTTACTTGACTTAATTTATTATGAGCTTAAATAAGCATATCTTTGCTAATGTAATATGCTGGCTGGCTGTTTTGAACAGTTGTGCCCCCCTGCTGATATGGACGTCCGAATAACGGATTCCGTCTGAGTGGCTTAATTACCATATTTTATGGCATATAAGACGCATTCCCCCCATTTTAGCAGGGAGTATTTAGGAGAAAACTTTTGTGTGTATTTTCCTCCTGTATCCATAGTTTTCTTAAAATAATATACTGTACCTGTATACAGTACCAGTAAATAAAAGTCAAATGAAAGTTTAACACAGTTGCCATTTGCTCTGGTTCACCATAGCAACAGAGACGCCACCTCCGCCGATTCCCTAGCAACGCTACCCCACACACGTCTCTCCTCCTGCTCCCCCACTGAACCAGCCAGCTAACTTATGTGCAAAGAAATGTATTCTACTCCCTTTATGTGTTTGCCCTGAGGGCAATTATTTCTTTTACTTTTTCACAATATGTATATAGGATGGTGTGTGCATGTAACCGAGTAAAAATAAATGAAGAAAGTTACTTTATCAACCTGAAAATACTAGATGAAAGACAAACATAACACCTCACAGCTTGGCCCAGTAGCCTCAGTGACTAGTCTAACCTGGCTACAATGCCACCAGCAATGTTAACAGATACAAATGTGAAAAGAAAGTTATATATAAATCTTCATTTGTATCAGGTATCTGTAGATTTAAAAATAAATGTTGCAGGTATGGAATTAATAGATTGTAATGCTTGTAAGAGTTCAGAAATGGTTACTGCTTAGGTACCTCTGAAGAGTTGGGTGTCTACTGTACGGACGTTAATCATCTCGGGTTATAATCATCAGTACAGTATAGTTATAAATCGAGCATTTATATTTACAATAATTATTTTTTAATTAATTATGTAGTAAGCAATAACATATTTTTAATTCTGGAGTTGGGTTAGGTAGAATTTAGTCTACTAGAGACAGCAAGTGGGGATTCATTAGCTTACGGGAGACCTCAACTTCACATATAAGATGCAAGTTGAATTTTTTTTTTGCCATTTTTCAGATAAAAAATTGCGTCTTATATGCTGGAAAATATGGTAGTCTGGTACAGTACTCAGGGTTTTTACTGTATTTTATTTTTTAGTTTACCGGAAGCTTACCACTCTTATACAATACAATACAGTACAGTACAGTACAGTGCTGCATGTTGATTTTAGTTTAGTTGTCTTTATCAACTTACCAGGTCTCGTATGGGAAGCCCTGAGATGCCTGTTTTAGTACCTAAAGCATCTTCCGATGCTACAACTTCAGATTTTTGTTACCTAAATTAGAACAGGGAGCATTTTTTTTTGTAACTCAGGATTTTCATAAATCAGGAAATACCTGTATACCTTGCAAATTTAAAAATGGATGCATCAAGCAACATACACTTCTTGTACCCAGTACACAACTGGGGATTTATATGAATGATTTATAGTGGTTATTCTGCATACAACACTGTACTTATAAGAGATGCTAAGAGTGTAAACTTCTTAAAACAATTACTCATGGTGAGCAACAACTAACTTTCATTATCTGATCAGCCAATGTACAAGTTGAAATTACAGGGATTCTGAATATATTGGGGTTATAAAGCTTATCTGTAATTTATCACAGACATCAAGTACACACAATTGTTGAGCCAGCTGCTACTGATGACCCAAAATTTTCATCATCTGTGCAGCTTGCGCATAATTATAAGAGTCCTCCCAAGTGGTACAAATAATATCTAGGCCTAATACACATAGAACTACATGGTAGTTTGGTAGTGAAGGAAACATGACTAAGAGATGGAGCTTTATTCCTGATATTTCGTCACAAGACTGACCAGCTGCACCAACCACAAGTCTTGTGATGAAACGTCAGGAATAAAGCTCCATTTCTTAGTCTTGTTACCTTCACTACCACACTACCATCTGTCCACTTTGAACACTGTTCACAGAACCACATCCCCCATCCAGGACTCCAAATACTGTTCAGGGTCCCTTGATGATACAGCTGGTCCCCTGGGTACAAAACAGATTCACCTGCAATGATTTAACTAATGGTATTTCAAACAAAATTGTGCATCAAAGCTACGTGATTACTGTAAATACAGTACTAGTGTATGGACAAGACACAGTGCACTGTTAAGTATCTCAACATTTTAATGGAGCCTTATACTGCAGACCCATCTTCTCTCTACCTAAATGAGTACTTGTACAACCCCATTTCCTGAATTTATTTAGTTTTATGTAAATATAATTAAAAAAATGAAGATGAATTACCTTAAGTAAAGTTATATTTTCAGTGTTATAACCAGTTTCTTTTATATCTGGTACTTCCAGTTGATCAAACAGCTCCCTCATACAAGGGTACTCTGGGCTACATAGCTCGAGGTATCTGTGGTTCTGATGAAGGACTTGCACCAAGGAGGACACAGTACAGTTGAGGGCATAACACAGATTGGAGCATTGTGGAAATTCAGTGTTCTCACAGAATGTACCAGGACTTGATCCTTGAGCCCTAAAGTATAAGAATGGAAATTCTTAAAATATCAATACTGTACTATTAAATACAATATCTACAAATAATAATAGTTAATTATATATACCTTGATTGATATACCCCTCTCACTAGTGCTCCCCTGCTACCACCATCATTATTACAAACACCAAGGACACTATGACCATACAGTTTTCACCTACCACAGTAGTCTATAAGGCTAAGGTAGTCAAATGGCTAAGAAGAATTATATAAAAAATCTACAACAAACATGCAAATGATTGTAACAAATTATCTTTAAACACTCATCAACAGGTCACCAATGAACTTCAAACATTTAACAAAAACACAATTTGTCACTACTGTACTGAACTATACTTCTGGCACAGGTTCCTGCTACACTTTTGCAACTAGTTAAACAATTTAAGTGTGATGAATTAAGCCTTCTCAGAGTACTTCATGTCTTCAAAAGGATGAAAAATACTACATAAATTTTCGAACTTATCAAACCTCATGAATTTATATTTTACAAAATGCTTTGTCTTCCTTGTAAAAAAAAAAAATGCATCATCAACCTATACTAATCTTACTTGTAGCTGGAATCACTGGTCCCTGGAACTACCCAAGAGCCAAAATTGATTTTGAGCCAGAAAAAGGCTCCATTCCAGACAAGGGAACGAGTTTCCAAGGATGAAAATCGGGTGCATTTTCTAGAAAGTTTGAGAAAATCTCTCCAAACCTCTCATTCTTGGCCTGGGAAAAATTTTTCTGGGAGTTCCAAGAAATTACATCATGCTCCAATGCATCTCCACGTGCCAGGCACGTGAGTAGGCTAGCTGTTTGGGTAACTTTTGTACTTAGTTCATATTCTGGTGCCATTACTTTTAAGTTTATCCTCTTCACCACTGATCGGCTCGTTAGCCGTTTGGGCGATTGGTCACGTCTCTGTTACGCACTGTTGGCAAGTATTGGGCATGCACCGGCTCCTGAATGTACCTGAACTTGCTCCAGTGTTGGTCAAGTCTGATCTTGAAAGAACTCACACTCGGTGCCGTCACAACACTTTCTGGTAGATTGTTCCAAGAGTTCACAACTCTCACTCCGAAAAAGTTTGCCCTCACAGTTTTCTGGATCTGCGGCTTCTTCAATCTTGAGCTGTGACCCCTTGTGGGGCGAGCATCGGCCAGCTCCAAGTAAGGACACTCGACTGAGCAGTGCCCCTTGAGATGCTTATACACCTCAATTAGGTCGCCCCTTGCCCATCTGTAGTATAAGCTAGGCAAGTCAGGTGCTCCAATCTCTCAGGGTAGTTGAGGTGCTGAAGTGCAGGCACCAGTCTGGTGGCCTTCCTTTGAACATTTTCAACCAACTGAAAATCCCTAGCATATCTCGGGGACCAGACGGGGTGACAGTAGTCCAGATGGGGAAGCACTTCACTCTTAAAGATTGTTACTAGGGACGGACCATCTAGATATCTGAGCTACCTTCTTATAAGACCCAATAATTTATTTGTACAAGGTTGTTCCCTCGCTATTTGCTGGTTTTGCATACAATTTATTTTGTTCAGTATTGTACATTACTAGGACACAATCGGCCAAGAATACAGTGTTAAGATGTAAAAGTGATTACAGTTATGTATACTGTACTGTACATTCAGTAAGTGCGAAAATACCATATACACAGAAAAGGGAAACACTGGAATGCCTTAGCTTTCGTCTTTATTCAAAACACCTTCAGGTCAAGTCAAGAACATGAGACCCACCATGCATCACATGCCAAACATCACACATTTTTTTCTTCTATACTGTATATTTGAAAAAAAAAAAAGATAAATTATTCAGGATTATTTTAGTAAAACAATGGTGTTTCTAACTTAATTAGAATTGATTTTATAGACTTCAGTATAAACATTTCTTGCATTTTATTTATTTTTTCAAAAAAATTGAGGTCCCATCATTATATCATATCAGACTAGTTTGTTTAAGGATATTTTATTGAAATATTCTTGAGAATTTATTCAGGATCATTATGGTACTAAATTCATCTTTCTAACACAAATGGAACGGATGTTGTGAACAAAAGTTTATTCACTTTTTTGCTAGCTGTAAATGTATTTGGTCGCGACTTTACACACCAAAAGTAGAGTACTGTACCTTCACTTGATGGCCTATGTAGATTTTTACTTTTTTTTGTGTTAATATATTTAGTTAACCAAACTTTTAGATAAACTACAGTATTCATAATTATTTTGGTAAAAATGGTGTTTCCAACTTAATTAGAACCAATTTTATAGACTCTGGTATATAAACATTTCTTACTTTTTTTTATATAAAAGAATTGAGTCCCCTTCATTACATCGTGTCAAAATATTTCGTTTAAGGATCTTTTATTGAAATAATCTTGTAGAGAATTTAGTCACGATCATTATCGTACCAAATTGATCTAACACAACCAGAACAGATGCTGTAAATAAAAGTTTCAAACACTTTTTTGCTAGCCATAAATATTTTTGCTCGTGACTCTAACCTAAATGTAACGGGAGAATGTTTGTCCATGTAAGATGTGTAGTTTAAGTGTTTAGACTCTCGGAAAACTTTCCCCACCACCTGGCAACATTTTGGGGATGTCTGAGATGCATAGTTTAGACTCGGAAAACTTTTCCCAGTACAGTATTGTACCAAGAAAATTCCGGGATGTGTGATTTTTTCTGGGGAAGAGAAGTTCGTCTCAAGAACAGAAAATCTCTTACTCTCGGAAGAGCTTTACACCAATTATTCCAGCTAACAGGGATATCACTACAGTATATATGCAAACTTCAAAATATGATTAACATTTATAAACATATATAGTACTGTACAGTACCTGGTAAGCAGTATTGAAAAAGCGAACATTCTTTAAAACATTTTCCACAGAAGAGAAGGGCTAGCTTAACTCAGGAAAATTACAAAAAGAGAGGCCAGATCAGCATATACCAGAGCAAATAACCCTGCATGGCCATGAGAACAAACAATTATCACCAAAAAATTTAAATTCATGTAAAATCTAAAGGACAACTTGTCACCATCATCACATACGAAGCATCATATCACATTAATTAAAGTCCATTTAAGTTTTAGATTGAAGCACATCAAAATTGCACATTACTTAAATCCTAAAATATTTTACATTTTAGAAGAAATACAGTACTCACAATACAAAACCCTTGGTGATGAGGTCTATCTCTTGCAGTACTCGTACAGATTTTGAAGCAGACTGACTTGCTTCCTTCAACAGCAATACAAACTTTTTTATATCATGGGAGAGGATGAAGTAACACAAGTAGATATAACTGGAAAGAAGGTAAGATAGATGTTATCAACATTTGTATCTGCAAGGAACAATTCTCTATATCCATTTCCACAAGCATTCACAAAGAGGTGATCCATGCTTAATTCTTCAAAATGTCATCATGACACACATTCCTCCAAACTTCAGTGTAGTATATTCCCAAAAACTGAGGCAGATTAAAAACTACTAAGAAAGACATACATTTAGTAAACATTTTCCCAATTAAGTAGTGAGAACTATACAGACTTTATCTCTTCTTAACTATATACTGTACTGTACATACCTAATAACTCTCAGCACTACAGTACTGTATACTGAAAGGTTTAGGATTCAATAAATACCCAGATAATTTTCTTGACACAAAGCACAAGACCCCAAAGACCATCATTCATAATTATCTAGTCAATGGTTATTTTTATACAATCTACCAGCTCTATTCCTCTCCTAATTTTTTAGTGGTGGGTGGATCAAGGGATACAGGAACCAAGAAAGGAGGAAAATGATAGGGAAGAGAGGTACTACATGACATGTGTAGAAATTAACATGAGAACTGAAACAACATGTAGAAATACTTGACACACTTCTTTATAGCCTCACCAAATACAGGGTGTTCCAAAAAGATCTGGACAACTTTGATTGTTAATAAATTTAGAACCAATTAGTTTATACAGTATGCTACATAAACTCATAAAATGTTCGTGTACACCATGCTGAGCCAATCATGGGAAGAATTTGAGTACTGCCTTGACATCCTGCGCACGACAAATGAAGTGCATATTGAATTGTACTGATGGTATGCACAAAGCTTTATGAGTTTCTGTATCATATAAAACAAATGGTATTATTTTAGCATTTGTGGTTCTAAATTTATGAACAACCGAAGTTGTCCTGATCTTTATGGACCACCTTTTAGTATACAGGAGGTAAATGTTACAGCCAAGCTGTGTAATCAGTTATTTCACAAAATGACTGATGTTTTTTTTTAGTTAGGGTAAGTCCTATCCTAACCTAACTAATGCAACAATGTAACGTTACATCAGGTTGCGTTACGTTAATTAGGCTAGATTAGATTAGGTTAGGACCTACCTAACCTGATTGAAACATTTGTTTTGCTATTTGATAAATAAAATTATCATTTTGTGAATAGACTGATTACACAGTTTGACTGTATATTATACAATAGAAGTCATGGCCAGATCATGAAGTTGACTATCAGTAGGCCCTGCCAGCCAATGCAGTCATCAATATACACAGTTCATTTATAAAGCATATACTGTAATATTGAAATTTAACTTACACATCTTCCACAATCAGGAAAACAGAGAATGTTAATATGATGATGCCAATATAGATGAGCCAGGTTCCACTTGCTAAACATAGCAGTGGTATTACCAGTAACAGTATCAAACGCAACCTGTAAGAGAATGGAGAATCTTAATTGGTGATACTGTAATTAGAAGGAAAGAGCAATGATTAGTGCTATGACAACTGTAAATGTACTGTATATGTACTGTATACTGCAGCTGAATGAGGTACTTGTCATTTACACAAACCTAGAGCTTCCTTTAAACTTTCTCAATTCTTTCACCTAAACACTGGCCTTTAAGTCATAATGGCATCATATGGGACTGATCTGAAGGTGAGTCAAATAAGGGAAAAGTCCTGCTTATAGCATAAAACTGACCTAGTTTGCTTGGATTGTACACTCGGTAAAAACTACGTGCTTGAAACAAGTGATCGGCACTCTGAAACGAAACCCGGTACTAGACTTCCCAGAATTATCGACCGTAAGGTAAAACGTTGTTGGGCTGGGTTTCATTATGGCGGCATGCGAAACTGGAGATATTCAGATGTTTCGGAACAGCATGGTATATTTTCCAATACGAATAAAGAATGACATGATGTGGCATTAGCCCAAAGTGAAGTAGCAATACAAATACAGTACAGATTCAAAGTTCGGTTGCAAAATAATCTTATACATTTACTATATCCACTAATTCTGCCAAACATATAATGCATTCCCATATGGCAACTCATCCACTTCCATGGTTACTGTAGTCCATGGTGTGTGTAACATTTAATACAGGGGGCCCCCCCAAGTTTGCTGGGGTTAGGTTCTCAAAATTTTTACTTGTGTACAAAGAAATGTATATTCCTTTTATGTGTTTGCCCTTAGGACAATTATTTCTTTTACCTGTAGTATTGTATATGTGTGTATGTGTAGACACACACACACACACACACAAAACACATACAAATAAATAATAATTGGAAAATCCTCTCACAAATAATCAGAAACAAATTTATTAAAAATGTGAGTCTACCCTCAAGTCTGTGCTCTGTTAATAAAGTACTGTAATAGAGCACAGACTTGAGGGTAGACTGTCACATTTTTAATAAATTTGTTTCTGATTATTTGTGAGAGGATTTTCCAATTATTAATTATTTGTATGTGTTTTGTGTGTGTGTCTACACAAATATATTTACAATACAGGTAAAGGAAATTACTGTCTCTAGAACGAATGGTTCCCTGTCCCAGCCGCGAAAATGCAGGCAACTTTAAAACTACTCACAGGCATTCTTGGGTACATCCAGGGTGTCATCCACTAATAATCGAGAACTGTGAACTTGGGGGGGGGGCCCCTGTATAACATAGTTTAAATTATCTAGATATTCTGACACTCTCCAGTCATATTGTAACAAAGTAATTCAATATTGTCAATGAAATAGCTAATTTGGGCCTACCAAGTTAATTACAAAATGTCTCGCATTCAGGCTTACCAACCCTCGCCAGACAACGAGAATGTTCATTTGGAAAATCATCAGGCCCCACCTGTACGGTAGTTTTTACCGAGTGTACATTCAACTTTGAAGCAAGGCACTTGCAGTCAACCCAGCTTTGAATGAATAACCAACTTTACAGTAGGTGAAGTAAAAGACAAGCCAGTACAATGTTAGCCACAATGCCTACTTATGAATCAAAGGCTTACTATATATGACCATAATCTGCTAAGTGCCAAAATAAAAAATGGAGGAAAATGCTCAGGTAGGAATGTGTGACACACAATAGACTTTTCAGAGGACTCTCACCCACATGTACAGGTTCCACATTAGCTCTCTGACTTACCCAGGGGGCAGAGGAGGGGTTGGGGAATACAATGCATATACTGTACACTATACTACAGTACAGGGTATATCGTAGTTTAATTTTAAAGAATGTAGAAACATGGAAAAAGCTTTAAAACAAAGATGATGATATAGACTACTCACAGAAAGACACACAAATACCCAATTTGTTGTACACAATATACTCGCCCAATAAAGAAGTAAACCTCATGCCAAGAGGCCCTTGAACCTCCAACGCAGCCAGAGACACGAAGCTCCTCCCCACTAGGCATAAAGTGTTCCAGCACCAGCCAGTCATCATTATTCACTAACTTGCTATGTGTAATATACTCAACAATATCTTTGTACACAATATACTCAAACTGTAAAATAAGAAATTGTTGTTATCAATTTGCAGCATTTCTGATAAAGGATATGTATATTCAAATGCCAAAATTTAAATATTTTAGAAATAGAGCCCTTTCAACATTTAAAAGCTTCACATTACAGCATTTTTTATAAAGTGCACATAGAGAACTTTAATGATATAAATGTATCTGCTTGGTCAGAAAGACTTGAGAAATTACCAATTTACTAAAATGTAGGACTGAATGTTGAGATCCCATTTGATGATTGAGGAAAAAATTATTTACTTATTCATATCAATTACTACAGTTATCCTTCATGACAGAATTGCTTTGATACTTTTGGATATCGTAATAACCTACTGTAATATAATACCTTACAGTCACTTGTGAAATTCGTAACCAAAAAAGTTGATTTCCATCCATGCAATGTTGAGATGAACAGTTACAGTGTATGTCAACCTGCTAGTATTAATTTTGGTATAGTATTTATTTAATAATAAAGAGGAGATGAAAGACTGTTTCAGATTTGCTAGCCAAAACGTTCCAATAAGGTAAAGATTTTGTAAAAAGAGGCTCCTTCCTCAGCCTCATTCTTCCAGCTGAAGGTTCATTTATACTTTAATTCTTCTCTTTATCTTGTTTTGCTTCTTTCTTATTCTTACCATTACTAACCAGGAGTACTTCTTTTCCTATAATTATCCTCATAATTTAAATTTAATTTATACGTAGCATGTTGCACTATACTGTATAAGATCTTAGAGTTTTACACACACCACCACCAAACACTGATTCATAAGGAAAACAGACACTAATATCTATCTTACCATGCATCTCCCTGAAACAGCTGCATGAAGACATAACCATTTCTCTTTCAGTGAGCTGTGTGCTGCCTGGAAAATGTTGTTCCTGGTTAATATATACTCAACATACTGCACTGCCTTAATGGTCATCAAGTCAAAAGACATAACATACTGAATATAAAGTCAAAGCTAAAAATCATTACAGTAGTAGTAGTTTTCTGATTGGTAATCCTAAGTAAACAGTACTGTACTGCTATATACCTTAGACCCATACATTTTTTCTAGCTTAAACAGAGTTTATCATTTACAGTACTTTATTAACCTAAAGGTTGGGGAATGAATTTTACTTATTTAAATTTCTCGTATGGAATTTACTCCCCATTAGTTTGAGCAATTATCATATACAAGTATTTACATTTTCATTTGAGTTATCCTTTGTAAAGTCTTCTTGGCAGGGTGAGGTTATCAGCTGGGTAGACTCAAAATCAGTGAACCCTGTATCATGTAGATGTTGATATATAGCACTCCCCTGAAGAAATAAACACAATTAATAGAATAAATTAAAAAATCATAGGTTTTTATGAAATGAATAAGTTTTTACCTAAATCATCCTCTTTTTTATGACATTATGTCAAGCTCTTTGACTAAGTGAAAAAGTGCCATAAGAACTGACACTGATCCAAACTGTGAACAGCTATACAGTACGGGCATTTGGGAATAAGTCTATACAAAAAAGACCAAGTAATTGATGAAGGATCAAAAAGTATATACAGTACTACGTGCACATAATGTACAGAATAGTACAGTCCTTAACCAGTTCCTAGAGCAAGTATATACAATGAACCGACATTACCTTGGGTAAAATTCCAAGAGAGGGTTGCTACTATATTTTTTCCTATTTTGTGACATTTTCACTGAAAGGTTTGTTTCAATGCCCCGGAAGCACATCAAATAAGGGAGAGAAGAGAAAAATAAGTGTGAATTCAAGAAAATATTGTCTGAAATATCAATAACACTCTGAAATATGGACTTGTGTTAACCAGCAACTTTAGGAAATATTTTGGGTAACACTGGAGGATGGTTCCACACCTGAACCAGCAACTATAAATGCTTTCTTACTTCATTAAAAGTCCGAAACTTTGATAATGAAAATGATTTTTGTAACATAATTTTTAAGTTTTTCTGTCCTAAACACCAATCTGGTTGAGAATTCAGAGGTCAAACACAGGTGCTCTTCTGCCTATTTCAGGTTGTTTCAATGGTTCCTTTCAGATAGGAACTTTTCTTAGAAGACAATAACAGGTTAAATATATCAGCTTGGTTAATTTTATGACCAAATATTTCTGTAAATTGGGGAATGATTCCAGCAGTAAGTCCTAGCAACTGCTTGTCTATAACCCACCACCCCAGTGTGGGTTTAGGCGTTCAGCTATGAAAATTAAAACAACCCTACAATAGCTTAATCTAGGAGCTCTGATGTGTTTGTAGGTAAATATAACATGACACCTGACAGCCATACCTGAAACACAACATCCTCGTCTTCCTCTGTGTCCCTCATAACTGCCACCTTCCACAAAACAACCTACAACATATGGCAGTAAGAAATAACAGGTGACACACACAACTCCTCTTAATGTAAACACTGCAGACAGAACTATGCAGGAATGAGGATTAATAATGGAGGCTGATGATATATTATGAATGAAAGAAGAATAGACCAATGGATTGAATGAAAATTTAATATTTCTAGTGATGTATTTTGGTTTTAAAATAACTGGAAAATTTCAATTCTATGGTTTATAGATATTGTCATGTTATCCTTTTTCTTCCGAGATGGTTTTCATACTAGTAATAGAAACTTAGAACTTTACTTCATAACGTCTACCAATAAATAATTACATTCTGAAAAAAAATAATTATTTTGAACTAAAGGAAGTCTCAGTTACATTCTTTACTTTTTGAAGTCTCGAGTTGTCTTTAATATATATTACTATATTCCTGTGCACAGTTTAGCCATGATATTCATTATTTTAATTGAAACCTGACTTATTTCACTCTCTTACGACTAATTTTGTCCAGACTATTCGTATTCTTAAGTAAAGGCAGAAAGTAGAATAGATGAATGAAATTTAAAGCTGACGAGATGTTCTTCTTATAACTCATGCTTGAGAAGCCAGTTGGGGAATGATCCTCTCTAGACCACTTAGTTATAATTGATATAACTATCCAGAATAAGTACATAAATCCAAAAAATACATCGTTGGTGATATGAAGAAGCTCGTAATATGTAATGTTAACGCCATCTATTGATAAGAAATGTTTAGTTATGGAGCCGCTGATGATGGAATTTAGTGCAGCAGGTCCAGGTACTGTATTAAAGTACTTGGGGAGTTGTTTCCTCTACTACTAGTGTTTGTTGTTGAGAGTCAGCTGTGTGACTGATGGATATGTGATGAAATGCCTCAAGATCTGTACCATCGGATGAATATATAAGGTAATATCAATACCCATATCTTAAAACTTTGTCGTGAAGGCTATATAATGGTTTAATATTGTTAGATACGATAAAATAGTTTGTTGGGGATAATGTAGTGGCCATGAATAATGTACAGTAGATCTTAGTTAGTGAGAAGCCCTACGAGTGTTCATCTTATATACAGTAGTCTGACACAAGAAGCAGTAGTTGCACTAGTAGTAGGTGAGTGACATATACTTACACTAACACCTCATATATATGTTGCAAGCATCACTGCCTTGATGTGCAATGAAGGGTCATTGTGAAGTTTAGGGTTGACACTATAATGGGGTCCGGCTAATTACCCAAATGTAGCCGCAATTAAGTCAAATAATGGTCCTACATGAATAAATCGGACTGCCAATCACTTCTCGACTGGTATTTGGTGTCACGAAGTCACAAAAAATTGGTAAACTTAATTTAATCTTGAGTTAATAGATCGAGTGCATGTACCTAACCTAACATAACTCAGATTAAATTAAGTTTACCAATTTTTTTGACTTTATGACACCAAATAATAATCGAGAAGTGATTCACAGCCCGATTTACGCTTGTAGGGCCATCATTTGACTTAATTGCGGCTACATTTGGGTACATTTGGGTAATTAGTCGGACCGCTTTAATGTTATATTTTTTGCTAATACTGAGGATTTCACAGCCCCCCCCCCCCGTCTCAGTAGCAGTAAGTTCGCCCACGACAGGGATTAAGTTAGGTTAGGTTAGGTTAGGTTAGGTTAAACTTTTACTGTAAACTGATTGTGCTTTGGTCATATACAGTACAGGGGAGCCACGAATTTCCCAAAAGTACCCAAAAGTATAGCAAATAAGGGTAAAATATTAACGAATATCTGTTATACATACACAAAACATGTTTAATAATATTTTTAGTGTAATTTTGTAAAAATAATTTGTAAGATGAAATAATAAACAGCGAAAAACTTTCAATATTGGCGAACGCTAAATTCTAAAGAGTTCGTGAACAAGGGAGATAACTCAGATCCATCGTGATGCACTTCGCTAACCTAACCTAACCTAACGAAAAGTAAATCCTACGGCTATGTTAAATACCCCAAAGTAACAGAAACATCGGTAATTATATACCCATTTTGGATAGGTGACTCTCTGGAATTTAGCGTTTTTTGCTGTTTATTATTTCATTATTTTGACTACATTTAAATGAAAATATTATTAATCAGGTTTTATTGATGTAAAACATATATTCGTTAAGATTTTACCCTGATTTAATATACTTTTGGGTACATTTGGGTACTTTTGGGTAATTCGTTGTACCGCAGTACAGTATTTGAGGTAAAATTCGATCATCCTTCTATGAAGATATCTAAGCTATGTTTTTCCGACGGTTTTTGACGTGTTTTGAATGATTTTGACATTCATTTCTATCGGAAATCAATAGTTTTTGAGATACCCCTCTTATCCAACAGTAATGGGGGACCCAGTGGGAACCCAGGGTTTTGGGTGGGGGAAATTTACTAAAACTTGTGATTTCCGATAGATATGAAGGTCCAAAACACAAAAAAAAACATTGGAAAAGCATTGTTTGGATATTTAATGTAACCTAACTTAACCTAACCTAATGTAACCTGAATAATTTGCAACAGAAATGCTATAGAAGAAAAGTGTTTTAGATTTGTCTGAACTACTGATTCCAGTATAGTTAAATTCCTAAGATTCCCAGGATGACTGAAACCCTGATGACCGAAACTAAAATAATACCCTTTGGTAAGGGTAATTATATCTGCAGGTTAATACTGTACAGGGTATTTTGTTATTTTTTGATGGAATCATTATTAATGTGTTTTTTATTACAAATAAATTTATATCTGGTGGAGCTGGCAAAAGTGAGGGCGAGAAGGAATACAATTATTTAGGACAGACAGAATGAATTACCGGTAATCTTAGTTAACCTAATGATCTTAGAATAATTTTTAATTGTTAAAATAGGTTAGAGGTAATATTTTGCATTTCTTTTACCCATAATTCAGTTAGTGAAGCTTGGGTAATACTTAACATGAGTTTTGCATATAAACTACAGTAATTATTTTCAACTTCAATAACATTACAAATAAGTTGCAGAATTTACAGTACAGTACAGTATTGTAGTGTGTAGTAATGTATCACCAGTATACTATACAGTACAGTATATAACTAATTCTTAGTCCAAAGAAACTATTTTGGTATGTTGTAAGTATTGTACATGTTCCTAGTGAATACAGTTCAACTCGACCCATTGCCAACTCGGCCCACATTCAACTCGGACCCTCAAATACCTACTCGGCCCACATCGAACTCAAACCATTTCGGATAACCAATTGAGCAATAATCTGAACAGATATTTTTCAACAGTTTTCTCCATCGAAAATTTAAACATAATGCCTGATAGTGACCAGTAATGAAGTTAGTAAGCAAATAGACAAGCTAAAGCCTAATACGTCACCAGGTCCCGATGAGATGTTTGTCAGAGTATTAAAGGAATGTAAGGAAAAGTTTAGTATGCCCTTAGCAAATTTGTTTAAAATGTCATTAAAAATGGATGTAGTACCAGAATCCTGGAGGATAGCGAATGTGATACCGATTTTTAAGAAGGGAGATAGATCTCTATAATCTAACTACCATCCAATCAGTTTAACATCAATTGTTGGCAAATTGCTGGAAATAATAATTTCAAACTATTCAAAATCACCTGGAGAAGCACAAATTACGAATGTGAATCATGGTTCATTGATCAAGTTCTACAAACATAAACTCATAAAATTCGTCCTTCATACCATCTGAACCCTCGGTATTTACTCATTCACACTCTTCGTATTTCAGACGTAAAACAAATCTCAAACTTATTCCTGAACCTCTAGTCAGCTACTTGTTAGAAGTGTGCAAGGTGGGCCGAGTTAGTAATGTGTGGACCCAGTTGGTTATTTAAGATGGGCCGAGTTGGAGGTACACCTTCCTAGCAACATAAGTAGCCTTGATACCGGTATGACTTTTGGTATTACTTGTACTGTACAGTATTATCGTTTTGGTCATCCAGCCATTTTTAGAATTTTAAGTTTTGGAATCAGTAGCTTAGACAATTCTAAGGCACATCTTTTCTATAGCATTTATTTTGCTCATGATTACTTTCAGAGAAAGTTGCAATTTTTTTTTTTGAAAACCATTATATTTTTTCTAAACGTATGTTGTTGTTATCACTGTCCCGGAGAGCTCCTGTGTGTTCGTGTGTTGGTTAGTACAGTATGCTGTATTACACCTGCATTAAAGTCTGACACATGCTCAGTTGTTTTTTTGGACATTAATTGGTGGGTTATAATTTTGGATCAACCAATCGCAGCTTGGTATAGACCCCGCCACCTGCTTGAATTTGATTTTTGTTCTAAGGTGGCTTCGTTATGCAATGGCTGTGATGTTAATTATTTCCAAGCCATTGCAAGATTTCACATAGAATATTATGGTAGGGATGGTGAGGTGTTGAAATTTCTCCACGAACACGGTGTTTTGCCATCTGAGGTTACTTGCACGAACTGTAACCAGCCCACTAGCTTTAAAGCTGACAAACACCTTTGATACTGTGGAAGGAGAATTGCTGCGACCTGTGGTTGATGAGGAGGAGGACCCCGATGAGCCCAATTCCGAGTCTTTTGGGTCAAATTAAGGTAAGTACACAGGTGGATAGGTTAGGTTAGATTGGGTGGGGTTAGGTTTGGTTAGGTTAGGTTTTGGATTATTATGATCTTCATTTCTATCACAAATTACTACTATTTAGTGTTTTTACCCACCAAAATCCCCTAGTTCCCACTGGGGGTCCCCGATTATTGTTGGATAAGGGGGGGGGGGGTTATCTCAAAAAATAGTGATTGGTGGTTGAAATGAAGGTTAGATTCGTTCAAAACACTTCAAAACTACCGGAAAAACATAATTTCAACTTCCAATAACCAAGAAAAAAAATGTGATGATCCCCCAAAAAAATGCCATTTTCTCTGAGAATAATAATCATGAGTGGGAGAAATGCACTTGAAGAAAAGTGTCTTAGAATTGTCTAAACTACTGATTCTAAAAATTAAAATCCTAAAAGTCTCTGGATGATCGAAATGATAATTTTACTGACATTTTTATTTTTTATTTCATTTTTTTTATAATTTTTTTACCGGATTAGCCCACCATAGCATAGGTCAGTGACCCACATGAGGGCCTGGGGTTAAAATTATAATAATAATAATGATAATAATAAAAATAAATAATTAATAGAAATTAATAAAAAATTATAATAAATATTGAATAAAAATATAATATTGTATAATAATAATAATAATAATAATAATAATAATAATAATAATAATAATAATAATAATAAAAAAGTCAATAGTGAGAAATGATATATGTGTGTGTTGTGTTGTCAAAGTAAGAGAAACAATTGAGACCCTGCAATTGTGTGTACATGAGGCAGAAAGTCAGATGAGCAACCTGGGACTTGGTCACAATTTTTGTGATGTCAAATGGCAGCAGGGTCTACCATAGACAATACATTATGCTTCCAATATCTTCCCAGGCAGTAGTACCTCCCTGTTTGGTAGCTGCCTACTACCTGACCCAAGTGTCCTCAAGTATTCCCAAGTGTCCTCGGGAGTGTAGCTTTAAGTTGAGGCAACAACTGCAGTGCCCATATGAATGTTTTCCTTTTGATAGAGTCAAAGTCAAGAGGCAATTTAAAGAAATTTACTTTGATGATTAAAAGTGAAGTAAATTATTGAAAATGTCTATAACCTGAATATACAGGACCTTATGTACCCCAGGACCAAGCCTGGGAAGATGGGTCATTCCACATAGTTGACTTTGACTCAGCAGCTCCTTTGAAATTTTTACGCTTTTTTTTTCTTCTGGGAATAGCCCACCTGGGCACAGGTCATCAACCCAGGTAGAATTCATGAGATGATTCCATGATTTCTGGAAAAAAAAATTGTTAAGAAGGTAATGTAAAGTACGGTAATTAGTTATATATTTTTTATTTTATAAACGGTAAACCTTTTGAATGATGACTTTTCCATACTGGATATTCCCGATAACAGATGTCTTTTTTGTATGGTATACTGTACTGTACTATGTCGTAGCAGTAATTAGCCAGTAAGATCCAGTACAGTACAGAGTATTGTATTGGGAAAATTGTCCATTATTGATCACGTGGTCAGTTGATGCATGCTGTAACTTGCTAGACTCAGCATGGCTGATATATTGTTTACAGGACAAAGCCAAACACACTGATGCTGTTGTGTAATTATTATTTATACTGTATATAGAGTTAATGCAAGTTACACTCTAATATTACCTCCAAGCACATTTTATTCAAAAATATTTATGTAGTGTACAGTATTTCATAAGTTACTATTTTTAATACAAACCCTCCAGGTCCTGTATTAACATGTTTAGATATACCAGTATTGTAAATCTGCATATTACATATTGGTGACTTCATCTTTCTTCTTATTCTTTCATGATCTTCATTGCTCTGTCTCTATCCTCTCTCAGGGAAGTATCACTATTCCTTAATTCTTTGTTAAATATTTTACTTAAAAAATTCATGCCATACCTTGTAGCTTGAGAGTAGCATGATTAAGCAAGACTTATTGTACTCATGTCTACCTTGGTCACTCTCACTAGTGTCTGAGATGAACCAGCAATGTGCATTAGTGTATAGATTTATATTGAAACATCTTAATATCTTATGGGTTTGTATTGAAAATTGTAATTTACAAAATACAAGTCCAGTATGTTAATACCTGTATAATGTACTTTTTAATTAAAATTGACAGAGGAAATATTAGTGTTCACTTCACATAAGCTGCAGTGTAGCAGTACAGGTAGTATACCCTATGTGTCCAAGGCAAACACAACACTCGTGTTATTACTAATGTTACTGTTGTACAGTACAGGGTGTACGTATACTGTACAGGCATCCCTCGGTGTCTGAATGAGGTAGGTTCTCTGAAAACCATTTGGTTATTGAAATTTGGGATAGCAAAAAATATAATACAGTAAATGGGAAAAATAGGGTTTGATTCCGTAACAAAAGCTCCCAATATTATACATAAAAGAATAAATTCGGTTCCCAAAAAACAAAACCCCTGATATTTGTTGACATTTTGAAGCAAAGCTTAATCTGTTTTGGTTTACCGTATACCTGTATACTGTACTGTACTCGAGTATAGTTTGAGTTTTTATGATAAAATTTTTATGCAAAAAGTAGGGGGTCGAACTATATATGTAGTGTATTATTGTGTGGTTAAAATTCATGCATTTTCATGGGTCACTGACAGTGAACAATAGCTACCCTGTACAGTACATGCTTGTGCTAGGCTAACCTTATCAATAAGCTCCTTTATCCTGGGCTTGCTTACTGTACCCCTAGATTCTTTCTTTATGTTGCTACATGAAGAGCAGAACCTCATTCACTATACTGTACTGTACTGTTTATATGCTGTTTTACATCTACAAATACCTGATAGTACTGTACAGATGAAGATTTACAGATCATTTTCTTTTCGTTTGCATCTCTTAGCATCGCTGGTGGCATTGTTTCCAAGTTAGACCTTGTCATCGTAGCCACATCCTCCTAGCCCTCTCTCTACCAGAATGAGCTATGTTATGGTTATTTTTCAATTAGTAATTCTGGATAGATATACAGTGACCCCTCGTTTAACAAACGCCTCGGTTAACGAACTGCCTTCCATAAGGATCTTCAATTCGGTTAACGAATTTCTTACGAACCGAACTCAACATGTTTTCGCTTGCACTGGCCAGGCAACCAGCTTTAGTATCAGTCCGCCAATACAGTAATCGGTTTTAGGGCATAAATTCCTTACTATTTTAGTAAATATCAAGAAGTTTATACTATTCAATAATTTTAAAAGTTTAATATTAACTTTTTTTAGTCATTTTAACAATTATTGAGCATAATTGAAGGTAAAGAAACTAGTTTCTGGCATGCCATCCAGCCTCTTAACACAGCAAACAGGCGTTAGTCTCTCTTTGTTTTCACTGGAGGTAACATCTTGCTTGAGACTCTCTTCAACTAAACGCTTTTTTTCTGTGTTTCCAAGCAAATTATTGGTCATTTTGAAATATATTTTACATATTGACAATACATAATGCAGTGCAGTGTTGATTTAAAGAAAATAATCTTGAAATACACCAAGAGAACTAAAATTTTATGGGTGAAATGGCGCCATGGGGTGACTTCTCTTCCACCCCAATGCCTTCTCTTCTTCCTTCTCCTCCTCCCCCATTCTAATTCCCATCATCATCATCATCCAGGAGCCTTCTACATACACACCTCAAAGTAAGTGAACTTTTCTACCATTTTTGTTGAATTTAGGAAATTTTCGGTGAGCTGGAACCAATTACCCAAAAACCCATTGAAACAATGGTTTCGGTTTTAATGAACTTTTCGGTTAATGAACGACCTTCTGGAACGGATTGAGTTCGTTAACCGAGGGGTCACTGTACAAAACTTTCTTCTTCTTTTTTTACTCACTTCCATGCAGAATGTGCAAAAAAATATAAATAATTATCATTACTTACGGAAAAAACATGAAGGGAATAAACGTATTTTAGTGTGCAAGAGTTAGTGCACTGAGTGTGGTAGGGGGAGCACGGGTGCTAGGGGTAGTCAGAGAGAGTGTAGCTGCCTTGCTATGGTGAGCGTCAGGCGGCCAGCGTTCCTAAGACTGACTTAGTGTGTACATTAAACATGTACTGTATCCTTTTTTTTATGCTTTCATTATTGCTATTTACTGTAAATACTTTCCTTATTGCTGATTATATGCCTACAATTTAAGTTTTGATGTTACCGTGTACAGATAAAGCTACTTTTAGGGGCGAGTCTAGCAAATTTTATGAATACAGGTAGCAGTTTGAAAATGGTGGGAATTCAGTTTTATATCTGGTAGCACTTGATAGCATTAGCTGTTGTGGTAGCACTTGGTGAGAATCTGGTGTCTTTCAATAAAATGTTGTATATGTAGGATTCTAATTACAGTATAGTCTGGTTTTACGCGGATATTTCTTACGCGGAATGCCATTTACGCGGCACCTATCAGAAGAGATAATTATTCTTTACACGGTAAATTCCATCATATACGCGGCAAGCAGCAGGGTAAGGTGCTGGATGCTGATGTCAGACTCGCGCCGGTGACGTTGCAGACTGTGATTGGGCCACGTATCCTTACCACCCACGCACCCCCTCTGCCGCGTGCGGTGATTGGGCTAGTTATCCTTGCCACCCCCGCCACCCACGCTCTCCACGCCGCGTCAGTCTCACTGTCTCCGCGTATATTCACTCGTGCCCAGGAACCAGTGCTTTTTTTTCTTTCTACACAATGGCTTCCGCTGGACCCCCACCACCCCCGAGAAGCCCTGAACTACCTGGCCCAAGCCGCGCCAAGCCCAAGAAGGTGCGACGTGCCTTAAGCTATGAGGTGAGGTACAAGATTGTCCAGGAGTTAGAAAAAGGCACGAGACAGGTAGATCTGGCCAGACAATATGGAGTGAATGAATCGACGATCCTCACTATCAAGAAGGATGCCGGCAAAATCAATGGACACATGAACATTACCAAGTCTGTAGGTCCCTCGCTGGTGAAATATTGCCACAATAAGGTGCTGCTGAAGACAGAGAGTTTGTTGGTAAGCTACATTAATTGTCAGTCAAGAAGGAACATGGCGGTCGACACTCGGGCACTGCAGGACTATGCCCGGGACCTCTACACAGCAGTAGCAAGAAAAATTGGGGTTGCGGAGCCCAAGCCCCTCAGTGCTTCCGCTGTGTGGCTGCAAGGTTTTAAACGACGCAACAAGATCACAAATATTGAGATAGTCGGAGAAGGAACAAGTGCCGACCGTGTGCCCAGCCATCTCTTCTACTAACGTAAGTGTTAAAAAACCTAATATTATTGATATTTCTCTTATATATTAATTGTGTGTGCATACCATCACAAAATTAAGATGTTATTTTACTACAAAGTACGTATTGTGTCGGCGATAGCCAAAAAAAAAGGGTAGCCTGGCGGTCGGCCCAGTCTCTATTTCAATTAATCCCATAGGTTCTGTTATTTTATTTACGCGTTTCGCTATATACGCGGACCTCCATGGGTTTAACTAACCGCGTAAAACCAGACTATACTGTACTAGTACAGTACAGTATTTCTCAAAAGCTAGGGTTGAATTATACATGTGGTTTATAAAAAAAATCAGGGTTCAAACTGTACATGAGATAGGCTTATACAAAAGTATATATGGGACAGTATTCTTGTGGTTTACACAACTACTAAACCATTATTAAAGGTTTTATACCCAAAAAATGGTTATTAATTGAATAAAATACGTATACGGTACAGTAGTCTCCCCATTAGGTGGAATCCCTGGTTCCGAGAGCTCTCCAAATAGCCAGAATGGATTTGCAGCCTACCGGGATATTCCAGGAAAATTTTCTCCATTCCGGGTATGGGAATGAGTTTTCGAGGATGAACTCATGCGCATTTTCTGGAAAAATTCCAAGAAAATCTCTCCAGTTCTCTCTGTTGTGGGCATTGAAATTTTTTTGGGGGGGGGAGTTCCAAGAGATTGCATCATGCTCCGACTTGATCCCATATGCCGGGTGTTTGGGTGGGCTAGATGCTTGTATTATGGTGTGAAAGGAGAGTAAATGACTTCTCTATTTTGTAATGAATCCCTAATTTCTCAAAGTGATACAGGGTATCTAGTTTCAGAGATTGCACTGGGGTGCACGATGACAGAATCGGATGCAGTGGTACGCGTATCTGTTGCTCGTCTGGCAGTGGTAACTGTCTCCTTACCCCTGGGAGCTTTCTTCCTTTGTATTTACTTGTCTCTGAGGTTCAACTTTGATTTATCAACTGCTACCCACTGTGGGGTAAGTTAACTTTTACTTTACTGTATTTATAATCTCTATGTTTTTAATTACTGTACAGTATGTCATTACTCTTTAAGAACTACCTGTATTTTTCTGTGCATTTACAGTACAGTATTGTTTCATTAGGTTTAGTAGGGTAATAGATTTAAAAATAGTTCAGTACTTTTAGCCTCACAGCAGGCCCCTAGTACTGTGAGGCATGTAGACCCCTAGTACTGTGAGACATATAGTCTGCTAGTGTTGTGAGACATGTAGGTCCCTAGTACTGTGAGGTATGCTGGCCCCTAGTACTGTGAGGTATGCAGGCCTCTAGTACTACTGTGAGACATGCAGGCCCCTAGTATTGTGAGGGATGTAGATCCCTAGTACTACTGTGAGACATGCTGGCCCCTAGTACTGTAAGACATGTGGCCTCTAGTACTGTGTGAGGCATGCAGACCCCTAGTATTACTGTGAGACATGCTGGCCCCTAGTACTGTAAGACATGTTGTCCTCTAGTACTGTGTGAGGCATGCAGACCCCTAGTATTACTGTGAGACATGCTGGCCCCTAGTACTGTGAGATATGTTGGCCCCTAGTACTGTGTGAGACATGCTGGCCCATAGTAATGTGTGAGGCATGCAGACCCCTAGTACTGTGAGATATGTTGGCCCTTAGTGCTGTGTGAGGCATGCTGGCCCCCTAGTATTGTGCGAGGCATGCTGGCCCCCTAGTATTGTGCGAGGCATGCTGGCCCCCTAGTATTGTGCGAGGCATGCAGGGCCCTAGTACTGTGAGACATGCTGGCCCCTAGTACTGTGAGGTATGTTGGCCCCTAGTACTGTACTGTGAGACATGTTGGCCCCTAGTACTGTACTGTGAGTCATGCAGTCTTACCTAACTTTGAGACATATCATTGTTTCTTGCTTTTTATCCCATTCAACCCCATTTTTTTTTCCTCTTCACTCCTCAGTTACTTCCTCTGCTGCACTCTGATGGTCCCACAGGGCATCTGGTGCTGGGCAAGGAACAGTACATATAAAAGCCTAACCTTGCTGATCAACAATACGGTTTGATAGTGTAGTAATGAACTGAACCTTAAAGTCTGTCAGGTGGGAGCTTCATAATGTTTATAGTGAGGGAGATAAATGCAGGATTTCTTTCCCCAGAGAGGAAGATGTGAGTTGGAGATTACAGGGAAATTTTGGTAGTGATGAATTAATCATTTTTTTTTTTTTTACACAGGCTTGGATAATGGCCTCATCCAAAATGTGGGGATGAGTCTTAATAACACCTTAGGCAAAATGTTGAGGAGATATAACATATATTTGATCATACTGTATCAAGACTCTGTGGTATAATATAGAAAACATCTGGACAATATTCTAGTTGTACAATTTTTGAGCCAACTTCAGTAGAGAAGAAAGTTATGAATACAGGTGTTTACCTTGACTCTGAGGTGAAGGTAGTTGTGTATCCTTTTGGCTACTAGGACATTGTCTAAGAGATGCTAGATCCTGGACAAAAACATCACGAAACCTCAGCTGGTGGACAATAAGTACATCACTTTAGGGATATATGTGAATCCATACCTTTACTACAGTTTGGGTAGATGGAGGCTGCTTTTACAGATTCACAGTACAGGTAATGAGGAATATAGTTTATTTTAAAATGTTAACAATATCCTTAGTGGCATTAGCACCTTAGATGCATTCACATTACTTAAGACCATAGCAAAATATAACATAATTAACCCCTTGTGTATGGGGTCACCTCTCAGCTGAATAAAGTCATCTGGCATTAGTCAAATAAAGTATTAAAAGTGGAGTGGTTAAAGTTTGATTCAGCAGAAGCTGAAGAAATGTTGATATGACTAGAGGGGTTAAGTAAGTAAGTAAAGAACTATTTTTTTGTACTGGAGGGTTTGGCATCAATACTTAAGGAGTAAATTTTTTCGCCAGATTTTTTTCATTATGGTGCAGTGGCCATAATAAAGAGCAAACACAAATTATTCCTTTATTTGCTGTGATTTACTAATTCCTACTGTTGTAATGATTGTGTTTTGCTTTAATTTTCCCATTCACAACAAGGCCTCAAGTACTGTACTGTATTTTTGGTTTATTTGGAGCACTGCACATAACCTAATGTTTTCAGAGAAATAAATAATATGTATTGATATCTTTTATTTTATTACACGATTTCATTCCCATCAGGTTCCAAACTACCTTCCATCAATATCTTCTGCTATTGGCGAGTTTGTTCCCCAACGGTACATATGGAGAGCAGCAATTGCCGTCCACTGTGCTCCTCGGTTTTTGGTAGCCTCAATGTATTACAGCTTTATGAATCGAATTCTGCCTAATGTTGCCTTCTATAGAGTAAGTTGTGATTTATTCTTTGTCTCTGTGAGTATACATTTTACCCATTGCAATAGATTTTCAATATTTACCTCAAATGGAGAGAGACTGTTGACAAAAGCATAATACTGTATTGTACAGTATACTTGCAAAATTTCTACAATGTATTCATATTACAGTACCTTCCTAGAAATCTAACATTAGTTCTAGTTTTGATATTGTGTTGTAATATGTAAGACTTTACACATTACTGCTCACTGTAACCTGCAAGAAGACTTCTGTCTGAGATTAGATCATTTACATACTTGCACTCATCAGTGATCTCTGTATGGAAATAGGTTTAATCTAATTATTAACACTCATGTGTTAACATTTGTTAAAATTATCAGTATTGTGCTATTACATGTACTCACACCAGTGTACAATAATACCTGTACATAATTACCCAATATTTATAATGTAACCTGTACTTGTAGATAATATAATCTCTGAAAAGTGTATGATAGTGTGTACTATAATTCACATACAGTAAAACCCTCAATAACTTGGCATATACTATGGGGCTCTGGCCTTGTCGAGTTATCCCAAATTTCGACTTATCGAGACACTTTCCCCCCTCCTACAAAAATACAACAATAAAAAATTATCAACCCATATACTGTATGTGTACATGTAATTAGTAAATGTAAAAACGTAACACTTAACAGCACTGCAGGCGAAGAATGAAGCAGCATCATAGTAGGTGACACAGATGCATGGTAGGTGACAGAGGTATGGTAGGTGACACAGAGGCATGGTAGGTGACACAGAGGAATGGTCGGTGATGCAGGTGGCCAGTTATGCCAAGATTTTCCCAGATAATTTTATATATCAGCATTTCCAGAGTTACACTATAATACATTCCGAGTTATAAGAAATTCCGAGTTATCAAGGGTTTACTGTACTGTACCCAGTAAATCATTGTGGTGCAATCTTTTGAAACTCTCGACTCCACAATATATTCTATATATAATTCCTTCCTTTCAGAGGATTGTCAGTGATTTTGTTAAAAGATCTATTACATTATTACTGTATATATAAATTAGCATTTAACCAGAATTGATAGTGTAAACTCAACATTTTGTCAAACTTCCTGGGAACCATTCCCCAGGTACCTTTTAATAGCTGAAGGTACAGTACTGTATTACACTGGTGGTGCTATGCAAAGTTTTTCTTATTTCTACAACAAACTCTTGATTGATTTAGAGTTAGGCCAGTGTATTGGTGGTTCAGTGAGTTATGATGCTAAGTTCTGAAACAAGACATAAGTATTGCCATCCTCCATGCCATGCCATTTGTATTGTCAGTCATTAAATTTAGAAAACACTTTTCTTTTTCAAGGTTTTATTTAATTATTTCATAACATCCAGCCCCAAATAACTGCACAAACTCCGTGTTTATTGTTAATCTCCTTGCAGAAAAAGTGAAAAACTACAAACTAGAATTTTTTTTTTTCAGAAATTTATAGAATTAGCCTTTGTATTATAATGACTTCATTGACAATACTGTACGGTACTCTGTTTAGCATACTGTATGTAGGCCCATATTAATCACCCATTGTAATGCAGTACTGGTACTGTAAGTATATTTATTGTACTATTGGTGATTACAAGTGCTGTATTGTCTATAACCCAATATTAACTGTATCTTAACCTACATACAGATACACAGCCATAGTCTGGATTCCATATTTTCCTGTTATAAGTGTGTTCAAAATATTTACTTCTTTATACCATTTTTTATAATATATTTTTCCCAGACAATAAAAGTCATCCTTTTTTCCAATTCTACAGTATTCATACAAACTATAAACTAGAATTGTTTTCACTTTAACACATTATATTCTCCTACAAAATGTCCTTTTCATATTATACACAAAACCAGTTTGCCATTTTATGTGACTTTAGATTACTGCACCTGCTTGCTAAAAGCATTACTTTTTACATTTGAATGTTTTGTAGTTGTACTTTGTTAACGTTGCTGCATCCATCTACCCACCTTGTGCACAGTTTGCTTGAACATTTTTTACTATCACAGGACCTTCTTTAAGCATCATGAATGGATCCAGACCAAGAGCTTTACAGTACAATACGTATTTACTGTTTGTTGACACTAACCCATCTCCTTACTCCTGATCTCTTGCACTCATTCACAATTCTTATTTCTCAGAAGCATTTTGTTTAAGTTTTTATATGAAGTACAGTATATTGTTTTACTTCACAGAATGCAGTGAAAGTTACCACGTTGCTGAATGTAGTGGAAAATGTTGCTCTTCTCAGTCTTTCATTTGTCTCGTCCAAGGAAAATTATGGTAAGTATATTATCTCTCAGACTTTTATCCAGGTTTCTGCCAAGGTTTTAGTCATTATTTCTTCAATAGAGGGGCTTATAAAGGTGTTGTTGACACATATCTTTTTCCAGCGCCCAATTTCTTGCATTTGCCTTAGCACCCTGTGTAACTGATAGATTATGGCAGGACTGTATTTGTCATTCTCCTTGCTGGTGAACACCCCCATGATACTGATGATCTGGTGTTTATATACTGTACTTTGCTACTTATTTTCATAAAACTAAAATGAAGTATTAAATTATTAATTATTTTAATCCTTAATTTGCCTAACTTTCAGTAGACTAAGTTACTTCAAGGTCAATTTAAGTGACCAGCCTAAAGTGGACAAGAACTTATGTTTTACTTTTGGTGTTGAAACAAATGTTGACCCTTTATATTTATGGTTTATATCACTAATAAAACACAACACTATCACCACATTTGATCATTTAATGGTACTGTACTGAGTCACCTTCCAGACAACTAGTCTCTGTGACCTGTTCCTGAGGGGAAGTTGAGTGTGTGTCATGATAAGTTTATTGTCTTTTTCAGGTTTTATACTAATGCAATATGTTACTTTCACCATGCTTGATGTGCATGATCATCTGAATAACACAAAACATCTATTTTGAAAAGATTGGTCACTGACTTGCTTTGGGAAAAATTAGGTCACCAGACTTCATGGGCATGATCATCTAATGACACTTTTCACCTTTCTGAGAGAAAGGTCACTGTGACCAATTTTTGGGGTCTTACACTAATGCAACTTGTTACTATCACTAAACTTCATAGCCTTGACTGTCTAATGATACCATAGTACTGTACATTTCCTCAAATCTGAGTGCCTGACTTAAATTTGGAGAAATTAGTTACATTAATTTTTAAGGTCAACATATTTCAGTCGCCAAATTTCTTGTAAATCATTGGCTAATGACATCTTTTTACTTCCCTAAAAGAAAGCACACAGTGGGAAAAAGGTTCCAATAAGCAAACTCTGTTGTCTGTAGATAATTTGTTTTAGCTACTCTATATTTAATCTACTTTTAAATTCATTCCAGTTTCCACTACATGATAGTTCTGTCTGACATAACTTTTCCACATCAGCCTGAACTGAATCTTATTAAATTCAGGGTTTCACTTCTGACCTGACCTGACCTCACCTCCCCTGACATAAATTACCCTTATGGATTATGCTTAAGGAGTTTCAATATACAGTAACTATACTTAATACTGTTTCTGTCATCCCTTGTGTTTGGTCCTTCTCAAATGAACCTTTTTAGTCACTCCTTCTACATTCATTCTTGACACAAGCTATGCCATGTGTACTAAACTTATACCCTTATTCTTCAGCTACTGTTTACCAGCAGGGGTATACAGTACTTTTATTTAAAAAAATTAGTCATGTTTAAAAGCTCTCAGCAGTATTTACATGGGTAAGTGTAGGAGTAGTATGTAGTTATAAAAGGTGGATTCTGTTACTCTCTTGCAAAAACTATTTTTGGGGTTTTCTAAATATTAGGAGGGGGTTTATAGGCCCAGTCATGTTAGGTGGATAGTCTTTCAAAGTTGAGTATGTAGAACATATCACCTGTGCAGGCCTGTTGCATCTATAGTCAATGTCATGAATTATTTATACTGCATATTATTATTGTTATACAGTCTCTCCTCGACTTACAACAGGGTTCTGTCCTGACGACCAGGTCGTAAGTCGAAAAGGCGAAAATAATACATAGAAATTCTAAAATGGGTGTCTCTTTTTCTTCTCAGCACCACGAGAACTCTCACTTTTACGCTTGCCAGCCATTTTAAAGGGAATTACAAATGAAAGTTTTGTCACAAGACAGCGCGATCACTAACGTCGGGACTCGAAAATACGTACAGTGTAATGTGAAAAATATTTTATACAACCATGGCCGTCGTATGTCCGGGTTGTCGTAAGTTGAGAGACTGTATTCTAAAGAAAGTTCAGACAGTGCTGAACAAGGTTGCCTGTTTTTGCTCTCCCACTGTGGACTCCCACTACCCGATTCTTGATTGAGCTGCATTGGCTTCCAATTAAAGCTAGGTTAGAGTTCAAACTGTACCTAATGATTTTTAAGTCAATTATGTTTGGTGAGTTTAAGTTTAAGTATTTGGCCATCCTACTAAATTCTTTGACTACATGTTATGAAATGATTATAAAGTTGTGATGATTCCTCGCACCTTGAGGAGCCTAGAGCAGTTTGGGAATGTGCTTTTGCTGCTTGATCCTTTTCCTATACACCAGTCAGATTGTACAATGAGTTGCCTGCATCCATGAAGCAGCTGACTTTTGTGCAGGCCTTTAAGAAATAACTTAAGACCATTATTTTTGTTTAAATTCTATAATCCTAAAGAGGGTACGGTGATGAAAAATTACAGGGTTAAGGAAGTGTTACAACTTAAGTACTGTACAGTATATACAAATGACACGAGTAAAACTGTCATGTTTTTCATTTTTTTGTGGTACAGTACCTCTACAGTACTGTTCAGTATTTCTTTTTATTCTCAGGTCCTTGACTTTGTAGTGGGTCGAGCACTAGTGAATACAGTACTTCAGAAGAACTGCCACTTATGAGAAACAGAACACCAGCTATTATTATTATTATTATTATTATTATTATTATTATTATTATTATTATTATTATTATTATTATTATTATTATTATCATCATTATTTTATTTTACCATTTTCAGATGTTCACAAGGTATCTTTCATCTTGTTCATGGTGTGTAGTGAGCTTTACATGGTGCTTACCTGTCTCCTACTTAAAGATAATGCAAGGAGATTCACTACTCCTCTGGAACGTCTAGCCTTCGTCAAAAAGGTAAGATTTTCATTGTGTAGTTATACTGTAGTTAATTTATACTATTTTGTCTAATCAGGTTGATTATCTTTTGCATGTATGTGAAAAAAGTTAATAATTTATTAGAAGATTTAACACAATTGTTAGGTGAGGTCAAAAGCATAATAGAGTACAGTACAAACATACCTCTTAGAACACTGTACATAATGCCCATTGTCCTTGATAAAATTTTTGACATAAAAAATAAATTATTAAAGTCTATAAAACAGCTAAAAATTTGTCCGCAAGAACATGCAACATGCAGTGCTCTCCTTTTGTTCTCTGAGCCACGCACTTAGTCAGTGAGAGTGGCTTAGACTGATTACCACTCGGCTTTCTCTTGGCCTTAATGAAGGAATGTGCAGAGCAATTTATGCTAGTGTAAGATTATTATTCCATTAAGTGCGAAAAAAGTTATTCATTCTCTCTCCTTGATTATGGAATCACTTTAAAAGCTGTTGACCATGTGGGCATCACCAAATACAGCAGACTGTTCTGTTAAGTATTACAGGTGATACAGAGTAAAGCTTTTTTTATTTTGTTTTGTTTTACTTATGGTTTCTTCATAAAATATAATACAATGTCGTACGTACACTTTTATAATACTGTACAAAGCACTCATTTGTTAAGTTTGTCTCCTCTTTCTCTCTCTTCACTCTCACCTACATGCATCCTCATCATATCACATGTATCTCAAAGGGAAATTAGTTTCACTTAACAGGATTTCACTTACCATTGTACTTCTCTGGAACATATTTACTGTATTAATGAGGAATGACTGTACCTATTGTACATTAAATTATGTGATGACTTTAATGGTGTACCTGTACTCAATTCCTTTTAATAAAAAATTTGTTTTATTTCTTTGAACATAACTTGTAGGTTTTAGAAAAAGGATTATGCCAGTTTAGGAATATAAAATGGATGTAAACATTCCAAACTTCCCAGAATTAGTCCTTCAAGTTCATGTTGGTGAAAGTCAAAATTTTACCTCTATGACCTCTGATACAGACTGAAGTTGGGTCCAGCATTATACAGTGGAGTTGTGATAATTTACGAAATACAAATTCACGTTCTTAAATTCACAGGTATTGTACTTCTGTTACTATCTCTCTTTTAAATTTTGCTGTAAAAAATTCATAATTTGTGGCTGTGCTCCGACTGCCACAGTGTTTATTTGTACAGAGTATTTACATAAGAGACCATTAAAATTTTGGAAATATCATTTCAGTGCTCTTATGTTACTTAAAAAACAAAGAAAGTATAATGTAAAACTACTGTATAAAATAAGAAAAAAATGAGGAGTGGAATGAATTCTTTATGAGGGAGGTAGGGTGGCTGGCTGGCTGGACTCAACAGAAATTCCCCTAGCCATGACCTCTTAATAACAACATTATACAGTTTCACCTCAATTCCCACATTATTTAAGTTCATTTGGTGCCCGGTCAATAAAAAATTATTGTAAAATACTGTAATCGGTTTTATTAAAAAAAAAACGTCCCACATTCACCCACTGATGAGTTATTGAGTTCGTATTAAATTCCTGGTGTTTGTTTACATCATAGGCAAACAGTTGACCAGCCATGCCAACCCTGGAAGAGGATGATTATGAGAAGGGAAGGAGCTGTTTATGCAATATAGAACTACTTTTTGTACATTATCTATGTGTGACTGTACAGTATTTTTTTTATGTATTATGTACAGTATTTATGTAGTGTTTATTATAGCTGTTTTGGAACATTTTATTTGTATTTTTTGGCATCTGGAATGAAACTAATTATTTCCATATACAATGGACCCTCGGTTAACGAACGGTTCGGTTAACGAAATTTCGGTTAATGAATTTCCTTCCATAAGAATCTTCAATTCGGTTAACGAACAAAAATTTGATTAACGAAATCCTTACGAACATCACGTTTTGTTGTGAGCATCAGCTGATCAGCTGATCTGCTAGTCTGCCAATTCAGTAATCTGTTCTATGTTTACATTCGTTTCCAGTGGAGTAAATATCAATAAAGTTGTGCTCTTTAATATTTTTGCCTTTTTTTATACAGTATAGTCTGCATTTACGCGGTCAATTGAACCCGTGGAGGTCTGCGTAAAATGAGAAACGCGTGAATGAAATAACAGAACATACGGGATTAATTGAAATAGAGACTGGGCCGACTCCCAAACTCCACTTTTTCCGACACAATACGTACCTTGTGGTAAAAATAACAAAATAATTTTATGATGGTATTGCTACACACATAATATCTAAATAAAAAACTACAAATCTAAAGGTGTTTAACACTTATGTTAGTAGAAGAGATGGGTCGGCACACGTGGATGGCGGCTGGTTCCGAGGCAGAGGGCAGATTAGTTGCCCTCCGGTGAATCACTTTCACTACTCGCAAAGGTTTGCAGGGCCTCCCAGACAAACCCCTCAAAGTCCATATCCTCACTGTCACTATCACTGACTTGGGCTGGCTGTGGTTGTGGTGGGTTGCGGGCGAAGAAGTCCTTAATACTACGTTGACGACTAGCATTGATGTTGTCGAGATAGATCTGGATATACGGGTCCATAACTTTCAACAGATGGTTATTAGACACTTTATACCGATGCTTGTCTGGGTCGTTGTCAAGGATGAGCTTAATTTTCTCCCCCTACTCGATGATTTCCTTCACATAATCATGGCTTGGTCCAGGTAATTCAAGGTTTTTCTGGGGTGGTGGGGGTCCAGCGTAAGCCATTGTGAGGGGAATAGCGGGCACAAGAGAGAACTGTATACGCTGACAGAGAACAATGAGACTGGCCCGGCTAGGTCAGCGACTTCTGGTGGCAGGGCACGTCATGTTACATTAGACCAATCACAGCTAGCGGCAGAGGGAATGCGTGGGTGGTAAGGATGCGTGGCCCAATCACAGTCCGATACGTCATATGACGTCAGCGATAACGTAAGAGCGACCTAATGCGCACCCCTCACCGCGCCGCTTCCCACGTATGGTCAAGAATGGACCGCGTGAGTAAAAAATGGCGCGTCTGGATCTCTCCAGCCGCTCGCTGCATAAATGATGAAATTCACCGCGTAATTAAAACATTTCATTCTGGCAAGGCACCGCGTAAATGACCAAAGGCGTAAACAAAAACCGCGTAAATCCATTTATTTAACATGCTGATAATATATGCAGTACAGGGAAATAGTTTTTTGTGTGCCCATCAGCAGCTTGACTCAGCCACAAGGCGCCAGTTGGGCTTTGAAAACAGTTGAGTGAACATCTATTTTGTTGGTGTCTTGAATATTTTTTTATTTTTCATTGAAATTATTGGTCATTCTGAAACTTAGTTAACATATTGATAATATATAGCTCAGTGCAGTGTTGATTTAATGAAAATAATCTTGAATTACACCTAGTGAACTTAAAATTTTATTGGTGAAATGCCGGCATCAAGCATTGGTTCCCTGAAAGGTGATTTCTCCTCCATCCCCACTTCCTTCTCTTCTCCCTTCTCCTCCACCCCCACTTCTAATTCCGATCATCATCATCAACCAGGAACCTTCTACATACACACCTCAAAGTAAGTGTACTTTACTGCATTTTTTTTCTTTTTTTTACTTTGTATGTACTTTTCGGTGAGCTGGAACCAATTACCCAATATCCCATTGACACAATGGATTTGGTTAACAAAATTTTTGGTTAACGAACGACCTTCTGGAACAAATTGTGTTCGTTAACCGAGGGACCACTGTACAGGCAGTCCCCGACTTACGACAGGGATACGTTCCTGGATCCTGATCGTAAGTCGATTTGTTGGTAAGTCAGAACAGTGTTAATTCTATAGTTTAGGTTAGGTTACAGCACAACCCTGCCCATACAAACAACCTTGATATCCATACATAACAATTACTGTAAATAAAGTGATATTAAACAATATAGAATAATGAAAATAATGTAAAAAATTTGATTTTAATGACACATTTTTGCGATGAATGCATCGGGATCCCGTTCGTAAGTGCAGATGATTGTAAGTTGGACAGTTATAACTCGGGGACTGCCTATAAATCAGTTAAACTTTAATTTACCATTTGATATTTCCTGGTGTATTTTGGTAACTAACCTGCTAATCAAAACTCCACTGTACTAAATTGGATATTTACAATCAGCACTACTACTTTCTTAGGATTGTTTTTTTTATTTTAACATAGGCATAAATCCATTATTAACCCTCTAATGGTCATTCGACGCAAATTGCGCAACCCTTCATACTCAGCCGTATCTCACACTGAGAACACCCCTCCTGTAAGCAGAAATGTGGGAATATTGGGCTGGCAATATCAACCACCTAAGTTCTTCCCACTAGCCTCTTGGGCTGGCAGATGCATCTCTTAAGGGTGCAATTTGGGTCTGGATCACTCTACCCAATTTTTACTAAAATGGAAAAAACTTTCCTGTTACTGATACAACCTGCGTCGAAAGATTGTGAGGGGTTGAGATTTCCGGCCATGGCCAAGAGTACCAGAGGGTTAATCCATTTAGTCTGACCTAACTAACACCCACATATACAGTCCTAATATTGAGGTGGTTGAGGGAAGATGAAGCATTCCAGCATAAAAAATTAATAAACCAATGCTTGGTCAGTCTCCCCTAATTAACTTTTGAAATCTTTAATGTATAATATTTACACAAGGAAGGTAAATGGAGTTTCTCTTACATTAGGTTGAGGAACATAGGATGTATTATTTACGCATGTAGGAGTTGGTACATCTTTTGCACTTTATTTACATGAGACTGTAGTAAGGTTATTAGATATGTACAATACATCTGGTATATAGAAGGAAAAGTTTAGCAGAATTCAGATAAAGCTTGCTTGAATCAGCCTGCTCTGAATGTTTGAAAAAGGTATGTAAGTGGAGTTGAAATTATGAACCAAGATAAAAAAAAAGTATGTACTGTATTGTAATGTAAAAATAGCCCCCCCCCCCCAAAACATGAGGATGATACCTTGACTGATTGATTTATCTGTGTTTGATGTTTATCAGTAATTGAATACTGTGCAAAATGTTTTATGGTAAAGTAATGATTCTCGATGGAGTGTGGCAACTGAGTTAATACAGTCCTTGCATCTTATTCTTAGTGTTGCTGGTTTCATCCTGGGGTACCTGACTCTACATAGTTAGGGAATTGTAGGTGGTTGAGTGTAGGCTGGCCATGCTGCCTTCTTGTGTACCAAAGGTTTAATATATAATGTACTGTATCCACACTTCCTAATGGGTAGTCATGCTTTCTTTTTTCCCTCTTTTAGTTTTCAATGATACTTAACAGTCTTTCATATTCTCTTGTTACAGAAACAGCTGATGACTGCTAATTTGGCAAGTTTCGTCATTGCGTTGTACTTCTTCTACCGTCACAACAAATACTGTGAACCTGGCAGTAAGTATGGCCCATTACATAATGCGTAATGTAGTAGTACATTACAATATTCCTATGACTTAAATGGTACATATATTTATTAGATTACCGGTAATGATATTGAATTTTACCAGGTATGGCTGTTATTCAATACCTTACCTTGTTAGTGAAGAGACTTAATTATTCTTTAAACAATTCACTAATGACTGATTTGTAAATAGGAAGGCCTTTAAGTACAGAACCTTACCATGGGAGACAGTAATTAGGAATGGAACTACTGTACTTTATATTCTGACATCAGTGATAGTTACATGAAATCTTATTATGACTGTCACAAGTGAGGTGGACAAGGCTCATGGTTTTATCTGTTATTATCACAGTATCTCTAAAACTGCTTTAATTTTTAAACTTTCATTATTAAATTTTTTTTATGACTTGTTGGCTACACAATCTATTTTCACTTGCTTTTACTTCAAGTGATGTATTTTATGTGATGGTGTTTAGAGCAGAGATTATTTTCTCAATGAATTATGCATTAAAAGTAAATAAATTTTTAATGAAAGTTTAATTTTTTATGCCTCAGGTATGAGGAAATGTTTGTAGTCATCTGAAAATGTAGATTTTAGTACAGTACAAGTATTAACAAAACGCCTTCTTATATTTCAGTGTACTCGGTATTTGCCTTCATGGAATATATAGTGGTCCTTACAAACATGGCTTTCCATATGACAGCATATTATGATTTTCATAACCATGATCTTGTGGTCTGTGAGTGGAAGACAGCCAGTAGTTGACAATCAGTGTGAGGAGCAATATAACACGACAACTCTGATCCACGACCTGCATGGTACACTATAGGGCATAACCAGTGTGTAGTTAAGGATTATAAAGTCAGGTTAAGAAAATTAGATTGATTGTAAACTACTACCTGGCATTATACAGTAGTTTACTTAACTTTAGTCCTGATTATATTACCATGTTTGGAAAAGGTCTTTTGGTGTTAACTTAACCTGAATTTTAATCTTTAACTACTCATGGAGGGAAGTGAGTGAGGAGGATGGAAGGATTTAACTTGGCACTATCATCTACTTTGGATATATTGTTCAGTAAGCATTAACAGATGGGCATTTCAGTCTAAAATGGAAATAAATATTTTTTTTATTATCTCTTCAAATTCAACAGGCATATATGAGGCTTAGTAAGACCAGTGTGTTAACTGGCATGAAAATAAGGTCATCTTTTTATTGAAAAGTATTTTTAGTAGCTGAATTCAACAGAAAGATATAACTTTGGCTTTTATATGAAATGTATGTACAGTACAACACTAGATAACTTAGGGTCTTTGTTCAGTGTGTTGGAAAATGGGAAGTATTTGAATATTACACCTTATATCAATGATTTTTGCATACTTTTTAGATTTCCCAAAAGCTTTATTTAGTGGTGCATTGGTAATCAGGTTTTACTATCCAGCCAGTTACCAGACAATTAAAAGATGCTAAAATCCCACAAACCTCTCTGAGTCTTCAGTTCTACTCATGACAGCACATAATTTTCCAAGAATTTTTCCTGATCATATACTTTAGGGTGTACTGTACTACCTGAAGACATCTTGCATGATTTCTTTAAGCTACCTATTTCTTTTCTTCCTTGAGGGTGTATGATTTTTTCCTCAAAAAGATAATCCTTGCTTATTATGCTTATTGTAAACACCCTTCAAAACATTTAAAATATTACTGTACTGTACAAGCTATAGTCTACACAAAATTGAAATTCTCATGCCTGAACCACTGGATGGAAGGCTTCTATGTCTACCAACACTCTTATCACTACTACTTACCCTTAACATTTGTTAGTAGCCATATCAAAACTTTTGTTAGAATATCTTTAGTTTTATTATAGGTTTGTGGAAATCTATGGGGATTTTTTCACATGTTTTGCAAGTTGAGTTTCAAATAAATGCCCTCATTTAATACTTTGCTTTTTTTTAATTGTAATATCTGGCTATCCAGCTGGACAGGACAAGTAACTGGCTGGATATCAGATATACAGTACAGTACAGTAAAGTTAATAAATATAACAGGGTACCCGGCTGGATACAATACCTTATTCAGTGCACCCTTGGCTTTATTTTAGCATTACACTTCATACACCAAACATTATTTCTCTTTAGGGGTCAATTCATACCTCATAACATGAATACACGGAGGAGTTTTACCACTAAGTTTTAACCTTTGAATATTTAGGAAAACAGTTTGTAGTTGTTATACCCCAAAAAATTTGGTAGCATATATTTTTAAAGACTATAATTGCCATTAATGCCTCAGGACTTGCATACATGCAGCACTTATTTAAATTGTTTAGTTTGCTAGAGTATGTGTAGAAAGACAGTAGTTAGTGCCCGAGTGTCCCAAGTACTCACATACCCTCCTTCAAGTCTTATAGGGACTGTATGGGAAGCTTAGCAGGAAGAAATCCCAGCATAGCTTGACCAATCTATTTGTAAATTTCATATTAAATTAATTAATGGGGATTTCAAATAGACAATTCTTCTTAATCATAAGACATAATACAGTACTTCAGAAAGTTATGAGAGCTTGTGACATTGTCTTCCTGCTTGGCTGTGGCATGTGTAACCTTCATACTCAGTAGTCCTTAGTGCTCAAAGTGTTGCTTGCTCACCATCTATCCCCTGGTAAACCAGAATTGACACTGTCCAGGATGGTGAATTCATTATTCTTGATGTAATTTATACTTACCGTATTTGAAATCTGAGTGCAACCAATGTAGGTACAGTATATGTAAAGATGAATGTGTATACAGTACAGTACACAGAAAATAAGGCATGCTGTAGATTGAACATACGGTTATTGGGTTTTTGAATGGCCAAGCCTTTATCATCACTTTAGAAACTGCTTGTGATACTGAACCTGTCATTTATATTGCAGTGAAATATTTAAATAAGTACTGTACTGGTAGTTTATGTAATCTTGTTCCATAATTAATATTTACGCAAGCTCTTGAGGAAGATGTTTTCTATCCTATTTTAATGAGGAACATTTTGTTAACTACTCTAGCATTGTGTTCTCTGATGAGCTGTGGACTCTTATTTTTTAAAGTTTAATAACATTAAATTTTGATAATTTTATCACAAATGTCATTACTAAAGTTTTATAAAGACTTATTATGATAGAATAACTACTGAGTGAAGAAACATAATCTCACTTTGTCGCAATACTTTCCCTATAACTGTATAGATATGGCTTCAGTTTTTATACACTGTACAGTACTGTATAACTAAGAAGAGACTTGTTTAGAGATACTGTAACAGTATTTGATCACTTGAATAGTCTCATTATTTATCTGCAATATATTTAAGTTTGTGATGGTTGGTACTTTGCAGTGTTTGGCTTTTAGGAAAGGAAGTTTTATCTTCTTTTTGTATCAAAACAATTTGCTGCACAATTATTTAAGGGTAATTGAGTTGAAGGCACACATTGTCGAGTTATGTTACTCCTCACGAGTCTGTAAGGTAAGTTGTGTACAGTGTGTAGAAGACAAGCTGGTTGATGATAGTTGGGTGCGCTACACCAATTATGATGTGATGTTATGTTATGTGTAGTGGGAAACGTACCATAATCACAGTTCAAGATAATATATGTATTTTGTCAGTATTTTTCTTACAAGTAATATTTAGCATTTATTAATTTTTACAAAAAACAAACAGGTTTGGTTCCATTTCTCCATTGTGAAGGCAGTGTTGTCCTTCATATAAGAGTTTTCTGTTATTTAGGGATAAGGTACAGTACCTGCTGTATTGCCGGTGTTTGTAAATATTTGTGGAGCGGTCACATGACTAGAATGGTTGGAATATAATATTATTTATATTGGCATCAGTTAATCGTACGGTACTTTACGTTTGTCACATTAATGGTTTGTGAATGTGAATGTGTTTGGAAATGTAGTTATCAGTACAATACTTGTCTCGTAAACAGAAAATTTTTAATAGTATTGTTATATTTTGTCAAAAGTCTAGTACAGTATAGTACAGTAGGGAATTTATTCTGAATGTATCCACTACAGGGAGTCCCTGAGTTGAGAGCGTGTAACTTAGGAGCACCTGAACACACCATAAAATCCCGAAATGGTTTTATAGGTTGAACTTCGATTTAACGACACTGGATTTATCGGTAACTTGCATTTAACTTCAAAATTTATAGATAATGGATTTTTTATTTATTATAATTATTATTATTTTTTTTAAGGCCTGCCTGTAATTTCCACTAGTTTCTTTTCCTGCTTACCACAGGATCTGTCTTGGGCACTATTAAATAATATTGTAGCGTATCTATCAGAAGATAATAAATATTATTGTAGTGTATAATACGTCTCCATATGCCCTGATTTATTCACTGATCAGTTGACCAAGTTCAAACATACTAGGGTAGACTATAATATCCAGATTGTTTACACCCCCATGGGAGGTACGTGTGTACGTGTTTATTTGCATACTGTACTCAGACTTGAATTATACGTAGAGAAAACAATTATTTGTTAAAATTTATTAATTTTATTAAAAAAAACTTACTCCATGTAAATATCAACACCATCTCTGAAACATTTATCATTTCTAACCTAACATAATTATTATGACAAATATTATAATACTGGTACAGTATCTTGATGCAATGGTTTCATCAGCGACTTCCCCCCCTCCATACTTTGATTTAGCGACACAGTCCAGGTTTCGTCGATGCCGTTAAATCGAGGTTCAACCTGTCTTAATTTGTTATGGATAAAATGCAATGCAATTAAAAATTTAATTTTCAAATTAAATAAAATTAATTTATATAGATTGTGTTGTAAATTGTTCTTTTCTTTTTATGGTAAAGTGAGTATTTATATTTTAAACACTGTGATGAATCGTATATTCCATGTTTTGAAGATTTTATCTTTTCCTATTCCATTTTATAATTATACTGTATTGAATGAGGAAAACTCGATCTAATGAAATAAATTAAACTGAAAAACCCCACATAGACACCTGCTACTGTACATCCACGAGTACTCGTGCTACTGCCGCACGTATAAAATAAATACAAAACTACCTCCGATAAGCCCAGCTCTTATGCTTATGTTCTCTGTCCCTATGTGTAAAGTCTTGTGTCAAAAACAATTTTGTTTGGAAACACTATTGTCATATACACATTTTTGTAAGCAAATCTCTTAGGGTACAGTTATTAAAACTTCATTTACAGGTACAGTAAGTCCCCATTGAACGTTACTACTTTGAACTAATCCTCACTATAACGAAAGCAAGTTTTTACTACCCATTTTCCTATTAACGAAAGACTGTTCTACTATTACCAAAGGTAAGTTTCCCCCACCTTTCTGCATTCTCACCACCAGCTCCATGATCATCACCATCACCACCACTAACTCTATTTTCACCACCTAAATCATAATTTCATCTTCCTCCCTACCTTCCACCAACTGTATCTCACCGACACTGCCTCTCTCACTCATTGTGACTGTCATTCATGATAATACAATACTGTACAACACTGTACATTGTTTATATTGTTGCAGGTATTCTCACTCCATAATTTAAACTTTGTCACATAATGTAGAAGGAAACAATGTTGTTCATTTATACTTACACTCAATTTTGTGGGTAGACATCAGCTGTTAAATTGTCAGGCAGTCCTGCAGCCAGTGTTACCAAACAAACCGACTGACGCATCATCTCCTCACCACTTACCGTCTTCCTTCCTCCCTCTTTCCCACCCACTGTATCTCACCAACACTTTGCCTTTCTCTCATTCTACTATGAATGTCATTCCCATATTCCCACAAACAACAATTGACAACTATGTTTATGTACCTTTATATTTTACATGTTATATTGTTTTTATCTTTAGTATTTTGATGTGTTGCAATTATTTTGTCACAGAGCTTAGTAATGTACAGTACATTAATCTATCACAGAGCTTAGTATAGGCACATATCTTCCTTATTATATTAATTTACAGGGAAAAAATGGTTTCGATGAACGTAATCCACCTAACGAAAGCGTTTTAGTGGAACCTAACCCTTTCGTTCAATGTGGACTTACTGTACATCTTTGCATATTATGGAAACCCTGAGAGTGTAAAGTGAGCTAAAAATGTACCCTAATTATTGGTGCTAAGCAAAAGAGTGGTGTTTGTTATATGCCTGTCAAAGAAAATAAAAGCAAAAATAAAAGAAATGAAATGGACATACAGTACTGTAGTCAAATTAGGGTTCACAGAAGGAGAAACACTGACACACATCAGCTGCTTGTTTCACTTGAGTCGTTCAATGATGTAAAAAGTAACAAAAGATTAAAGTAAAAGACTTTTTAAAAATAATAATAATTTGTTTTGTTTTATTAATTGTATTACTGTACAGTAATATTTTTATCTACTAATCTTTATTGCACATTTACAATATTTCAGCTCATTTAAGGGTTAAATAGACTTTAGTGGGTAGGCTTGGGAACCTAACCACCATTTACCACATTTAGTCTATGAGAAATTGAGTTTTGATTTCCAAACAAATGACTTATGAATAAAATTTTGAAGTGCAACCCATTCTTAACCAAGAGACTTCCTGTAAATCATATTTTTCTGGGGATATTTTACTGCTTAAATATACGTACTAATTGAGTATTAAAACTGTGACCATGGGAAATCCTGGCTACTGTTATGTGCGTAAATACAAAAGAAAAAAAAACCTTAAAACCATATTATTTTCTTACAAAATTGAAGACAGGCATGCAGAAGTATGAAAATGAAAAAAAAAATTGTAAATCATTATTCTACCTTTGTTTTGCTGTGGTAGAGTGTTTAACAAATGTGTGGGGGCCGAGCAACTAGGGACAGGAGAGAGGAGTAGGGAGTAAAGGGGGTAGACTGCAACAAATGGCAATGAACATTTGTCTTCCTTGATAACATAAAGGCAACTGAGAGCACTATTGAGGTGTGGGTAGTCTGAAAAGATCTGAGAGAGACATGATTTGCTATATAAATGCTAATCTTGATGTACAATTTTAAATCAGTGGTATGAAAATCTTTTAATATGCTGCATGTTGTAGGCCCATGTGTATAATATCATACACGTTGGAGTTTAAGGGTGAATAATGGTTATTTATTATTTAAAAGATTATGAATTTGTTTAAATGGAAAGTGCTTTCATGGTTGTATGCATTAGAAATACTTAAGTTTTGTGTGTTTGGTTAAATGGAATTGTGGGTACTGTACTATACTGTACCTGTATTATGTCTTAATTAAGAATACTGAGCAAGCACAGCACATGCACAAACCATTGGATTTTTTGGGGGGATATCTAGTCTGTCTCTTTCATTATGGTTATGGTTCTCATAAATTTCTTGCTCTGATTTAATGAAATTATGAATATTGAGGGACTAATTTATTCCGTGCTCAAAAAAATCAGTCCATCATATTGTATTTATTTGTACTGTATATTAATGCAGAATGTGCAGAACCTCTATTCAGCCTACTTATTTATTACTCCTTGTCTGAAGCACCTGGTTTATAGTCACTTACACTTTAAGTTCTTGGATGCATTTATTTGTGGTAGGATTCATTCCTCAGATCTGAGGGTTCTTTTAATTATTATAAGTAAGCATGAGACCTGGCGGTTATGTTGGTTGTTAAATATTTTCTATTAAGCATTTATGCAATTATTGTAAGTGGTGCAGTCACAAGTTTAAGGGAGCACTTTGTATCATCAGTTATATACCATAACAAACTAAGGATGGTCTGATTAGATAACAGCTGTATAGTGTGTCTTAATAGACACACTTGTTATTTTACCAGTTTCATTATAATTGCAGTCATTTTACATTTTGCATTTTGTGATATCCAGGCCTTAAGAGAACTTCACATATATATTCACTTAGTGAAACCATTCCATTTCCATGTTTGTCATGGTTAGATCATTACACAAGCATGCTGTTACTTATCAATTTTATGATGTAACTGGGACCATTCCATTGGTATGCTGTTATTAGACTGTCACTGCCATGTTACAGCAGGTCTTTGTACCATGATTTATTACATAAACCATTGCTCTGTACCATCATGACTACTGCATGGTGGTATAACAACTCTTCATTAGTGTTATTAATTATTATTAGTAGTAATATGTTTATTATTCAGTGATATTTATTCAATAAGGTGTCTCACACATTGTATGCTGGATGAAATATAAATACTGGTAATACTGTACATTCCAGAACATCAGTTGCTGTACATTTGACATACACACTGTATGGTTTTAGAGATTTAACAGTAACACTAAAAAAATTGATGATGGTCTATGATTTGGTTAGAACTTGTGTTTAAATGTTTCACTCCTTTCATTCCTTACTAATGCCGAATGAGAGAACCTTGAACAGATGAACAGATGAGGTAGCTGTAGTTGATAAGCTGAAGTGAACAAGAAGGCAAAGAAAAGTTTGAAATTGAGTGAATGAAAATTTCTGAAAGATTTAAAATTTGAGATTGTGTAATGGTTCAATAAGTAGAGGTGTGATAAGAATGTTTTAAGACACTACCATCATCATGATAAACTAGACCACAAGAGACAGAACTGATTTTAACAACATTTTAAATTCCTTCATACTTTACTAGTGCTTCCTTATGGTAAGCACCAGCTATCCTATCATGTATAGCATAGCACCATCACTTTAGCCAAAGAAGACCACAATTAATGTATTATTTTAACATCCCTGTGAATTCCATCTTGGTAGTGCTTCCTTGTGTGATCACTGATGACTGGTGTAGCCCCATACAGTGTCACCTGTTCTCAAGAAGTGTCTATTGTATTGTACCCAATTTTGATTTGTCACTTGGGTTCTCTGCTTCGTAATTTATATTTAATTTTTAAGGTTTTTATAAGACAAATTAACCACTCGTATTCTTTTTTCTTTTTTACTAATGCAGATAGGTTAATTCTGTACAACTGTAGCTCATCGTTTTCCATTAAAAATGTCATATGAGGAACTTCCTTAATATTTAAAGTAATAAATATTAATCTTATATTTGTTTTACCAGGAATTATGCCATCAGGATGGTAAAATAATCAGGATTTCATATCAGAAAATATCTCTTCCTCCCAGTTAAGGAGTATTTTACTGTACTGTACATTAAATAGCTTTGCTCTTTATAGGAAACTGTTTATGTGCACAATTCAGTAAACCTAGCAGTAGTAATTTAATTTTTTTATAAACTAATTCTCATATTCATCTAGGTATCTAAATTGTTTATTTATTTTAGTGTCATTTTTGTAGGAATTAAAGGTGTTTATGAAAAGACTTGGGTTTCCTAAGAGAAGGGAGGTAATATACGAGGTCTGATAGGAAAGTATCCGACCTTTAGCAGGTGAAAAAAAAAACAAGCTTACTTACTGAGTTCAGACTTTAATCCCCTTCAAAGTAGGCCCCTTGGGACTCAACACACTTAACCCAGTGGTAACAAGCTAACCAATTATATCAGAGTATGATAGAGTAGTGGAAAGCTTTAAGATTGTCCATGACATGTTGCTTTTGTAGGCTAGATTAGATGAGTTGCTGCCATACTGCATACCCCACAGGTAAATAAATTTGCTTTATTGTAGTCATACAATTTAATCCTCTTAAAGTTTTGGTTTTCTAAGCCTTAGACAGTTGAAGTACTGTACTGGTACAGTATTCTGTACTGTACAGAGTATGGTAAATCCAAATTTATTTCATCCAGTATTTTGGACAATTTTCACCTTGTCAACTCTGGACTTAAGGTGTTCAGATCCTTATGACATATTCAAAGGGACTTTCACCCTTAAGCTGGATTGTTTCATCTTCCATAATAATTTATTAGCTATGTATGCATATTTTATTCAGTATAAAGGGAAGGGTTTGGGGTTTGACCCTATATGAAACATTTTGGTTAACCAGATTAAGGTTAAACATAGGCATGCTGAACTATGTAGGTATAAGTGTATTGGGGTATGGTTTTCTAAGCATATTTTATACTGTACTGTGAACTTTTAATAAGGTACTGCAGCTTGTTATGAAATATATGTGCATGTTGGTTTTTAATGTACAAAACTATAATCTCCCTTATGCTATTATCATCAATAGCATCTTTCCATTTTTTGCCATAGGTTACTTTTTCAAATTTACAGCATTTCCAGTTTTCCAGCTGCTTTTGGACTCATGTTAATACCACTTAAGACCATACCAAACATTTGGCTAATGAATGTGTCATATACAGTACAGTTTCAAGGTTGTGCACTGGTGGCAGCAACAATATTTGCCATATTAAAGGAAAAAAATATGAAATAATGCTCAAGTAATACGGAAGTACTACTGTACTGTATGTGAATAACTTAGGTAGATGTATTCTTTTGTTAATCAGGACATGATATTCAGCCAGCAACTACAGGATTATAAAAAAGTGAAATGAATTACGTATAGCCAAGAGAAAGGGATGAATTAACTAGGGATATATGTGTATAGTAATAGATTTGGTGTCTTGAAATCAACCAAAGAAGGATCACCATTGTTCATGGTAAGCAGTGTCAAAGAGACAAAATATCTTTTCAATAGCAACCTGTGTGTTTGAGAGTCCCATGAATATTGATTCACCTAATTTTTTTTTCTCCATGTATTGGCTGTGAATGGTGAAGGAAATAAATTGCCTTTGGATGAAGAAAGCCTGTAAAATGTTATGTAACTTTCTTTTACTCTACTCTTGAAATCTTTATCTCTGTTGATCTCATTATAACAACTTGTGTAAAAAGTTTATGCAACGGACATGTCATTGGTGCTGCTGTATAGTAATTACTTTGAGTAAGTTTGTGTTATTAAAACTGTAATATTTTATTACTCATAGCAAATAGTTTTACATAATAATGTACAGTATGTGCATGTCATTTTGGAAAAAGATGAATACTGTAGCAACTTTAACAAAACAAGTTATTTGAAAATGTATTTAAGTAATAAATGGTACGTACCAGTGTTATGAAAAAGGAAACACAGGTATGTGAATGAAGGATTGTTTTGAGTAATAGAATATTACCTGTATTAACTTGGTCTTGTGAGAACCTATTACCTTGCTGTCCACAGGATGTATAAGTTAAGAGCTTCTGTATTCAAAACCATGATCACCTAAGTTGCTCCAGATGTAAAAACTGTAAAAGCTTGAACCTTAACACCAATGTAACCCTTAAGTGTTTTAAGGTCATAAACACTGTTGTTATATTTTGGTATAGGGTCTCTTAACTCAGAAAACCTGAACAATACCGAGAACTAGAGTGTTTAAGCTCATTATCTCTATACTGTACCCCTAAAATAGGAGTAATGGCAACATTTTTGCTTAACAGAAGTTTTGGTCTGTGTTAAATGCATTTAATTTGAGAGTTAGTAAGGGAAGTACCTTATGTTAGATCTCGAGTACAACCAGTTCACTCTTGGTACCAGCCAGAATGGGTACCTTGATAGTGTTGCTTTTTATTTTATCCCTTTTGTACTTATCATAGTTGATTACAGTACTGTACTTAATTTTAAAGGCTTTTCTATGGGGACTCCAGCACAATGGTTTGGAATTGATAAGTATTTTAGGGCTTGAGAATAATATAACTGTTAACACTTAGGACTGTACATTGCATGGTATGCACAGTAACAGAAATTATGAGGATAGTGGCAGTTTGTAATTTGATGTATCCACTCATTTAGTAAAGATGTTTGGTATTAGACAAATAATATTTAATGTCAGTTTATCAAAATTCAGTACTGTACTACTAACATTGTTGGGAGCAGGTACCCCACATTTCCACCAAAGACAGAGCTGTGATAGCAGTCACATGCCCGGTAGGTAAGAAAAAATAAGCTAACCTATCCTTTATGTATTAATCAAGAATGTCTTTTATTGTATCTGAATTCAGAAAACTGTTCTACACATTTAAGTGCCAATTCTCCAGGTAAAAAGTGTATGCTGATTTAGTAGCACTTCTGCACAACCTGTCTCACAGAGTGCATATTGGTGCTTCGAGTTTTGTTGAAGATTTTTATCTTAATGCTCTTGTCAAAATGGATAGAACATTTAATGCTTTTGTCAAAATGGATGTAACATCTGCATTAAATTAGAAAAGCAGAAGGCTGCTCCCTGCTATAAAATTTTGGAGCCAGTATTCATGGTAATCCAAATATGAATGTATTTGATTTATGGGAGATGAACAGCAGTGAGCTGGGTTTTGTTCTGAAAATCTGTTGCATTTGTGTTGCTTATAAAAGGTATTAACATGAAATGTAATGCCTTGTATAACTTAACAATATATGATACTAGTCAATTTAAAAATAATTGTGGCAAATTATCTTTTCTATGTTTCATCTTTCTTGGGTACTTTTGTTATCATATATTTCTCAGTGTATGCACAGGTAGTTTGCAGGTAAAATGGACCCCAACCTAACCTAACAATTATGATTGGCACAAAAAACACTAGAGCCCATTTGATGTGTGACCTTCGGTAGTACTATAGGCATCGGCATTAGTTATTTATTGTTATGGTTTCTGGAATATTTAAAAAAAGAAATCTAAGTTTTCATATTATGTGGAATAAATTGGATTGAACTCGACTGTAAATAATTGTTTTGTAGACGTGTAGATGAAAAATTGAATTACAGTTGTTTTATTATTTATATTTACAGTATTTGTACTTTCAGCCAGGGTTGATGAATCATAGTTGAGATATCAGAGCCTGTGCTGTACAGAGATACAGTACTTTTTGTATGTACAGTACAGTACTGTACTTTCAGCAGAGAACAATAAATGATAGCTATCAGAAATAATTTGAAAAGGTAGGGAAATTGCCACTCGTAAAGTGGATAATAAATGGAAATACTGAGAGTTAAAAGGTGTATAAATGTAAGGTTTGGGTAATAAAACTCTAGCAAGTGCGTGGCAGTGCAGTAGATACTGAGTCTAGTAGGAGAATGGTCACTTAAGAGTACACTACTGTACAACCAGTTGAGGTGAAATTTATAAAAAAATTAAATGTTGTTTAGGAAGTGTGTAAAAGAGGTAACAAGGAGCTGCAAGATGATGTATTTATTCCTAACAAATACATTAGAAAAGGTGCCACCAAATTAAGAAGGTTTAACTACATTCAGTTATTTTTCTTTGGCTCTTCCAACACAAGGATGAATTGGTGTTATTTTATACAGTACAATAAGCTGCTTTCCTTCTCTTTTTTTATATACAGTATTGTATAGTATAATTGTTGAGGACGCTCTCTTCCTTTCTACAAAATCTTATATTTTAGTCTACTCCAGCCAGAATTAACTCCTAAAGTACATAATTATTGCCTCTGCATGTTTAAGGGACACTGTGTGGGTCATCCTAGTGTTATGTAGATAGAGCATCATGATGATGATATGGGAATACTGTACTAATAATGATACTGTATAGGAATAAGAAGTGCAGAAATATGTAAGAAATGAATGAATGTATGTACAGTACAGGTATCCCCCTATTTATGATCATCCATTTTACTATAATCCGTGTTAATGTTAATTAGGTATGAACACCCTTTTGTGATTTATGTTAAGCAAAATCCATGTTAACGATGGTTATCATTATAATAAACTCACTGATGTGGAATGTAAACACTGGGGAAGTGCATCTTTCCCTTCACTTGTCAAGTCCAAGATGGCCGATTTGCGCAGAAACCGCTTTTCAAATCCTCTTCTCAGCTTCACCTATCTGCATGGCCACCATTGAACTACAGTCCCACGCTTTGTTTCAATATGATTGCATCTGCCCTCGGTGATGTAACAAATGTTATCGTTATTAATCGTTGCCTAACCTTGTGATTGCTGTGATACTTTGCCGTTATTCGTCAGGGGAAAACATTATCGTTCAGATTTTGCTGTTTTTACTTTTATCCTCTGCCACTGATTGTGGTAACTAAAGGGATTTTGCTCTTTTGGTGATAGTGAATTGATCACTATAACTGTAACCTTTAAAATGGCTAGCATCCATCCACAATGAGTTTCCTTAGCCTCGCAGGGGACAGGTGTTGTTTAATTTTGTTGTATTTATTTAATTGGTGTAGGATCGTTTTTTCTGTCGGACAGGCCAGGAACATATACCATTGAAACCCATGTTAAAAGGCTCGTGGTTTGCGTAAATTTGATTTATGTTAGGGTTTTCAGGAACGCAATCCTATCGTAAATAGGGGGATACCTGTATATGAGGAAGGTGTGTGGCAGTAGATGCTGAGAGAATTTTGAAAGAACCATAAAGAACTTGATGGGAGTGTATTGTTGGAGGAAACTGCCTTCAGCACAGTACGTATACATACAATGAGCGTGTGACATGTGAAGGTGTTGCTGGAACTACTGTGCTACAGGATATCAGTGACTATAAGAGTATTTTCCCACAGTACAAAAACTATTGCCATATCAGAGCTCAATTACATTTTTGTTTCCTAAATATTTTACAATAATTCATCTATGGAATCTGGTGCCAGAGGTACAGTACATACAATATCACAAGAATCTTACATGTGTACTGTACAGGTATATTCCTTAGGTAAAGACCAAATTCTTAATACTAGTACCTACCCCATTTTTAGATTTTCTATACAAGGATACAGTATGCAAATGACTACCACTTAAAGTCTTCTGTCTACACTAGCTTGTGTATGACTGACTAATATTCTGAGTGGACATTAAATCTAAAACAATAATATTCTTAGATTTTATCAAATGCTTCTGAAAGAGTTGATTTTGTGGGTAACAGAAATCAGTATGTTTTTTCAAGCACTATATTCTACACCCAATCTACAGGAAGAAAACCAGAATTGATTTTAAGTTGAGTGTGCCAGGAGCCCTTGATAAAAATTTAAAGAAAGAATAATACAGTACAGTAATTGAGAGTCGAATACCATATATGAGTAGGAGCTTGTGTCTCACCTGTAGTTATTAATTTCTTTGATAGTCACTGTAAACAGGTGCTGTCTTTTGAAATTTTATGCTTAAGACCAGGTGGCTTTCTCTCCATTATACAGTACATTACAGACTTGTATTTTTCAGTTTACTATACAGTACTAGTTTTTGGGACCTAGATGTTGAGTGTTTTGATTAACAAGTACAAAATGTTTTATGCTCATTGCTTTATGTGTATAACACTGAGGTATTGACATAAACTTAAAAAGAAATGAGATACAGTACAGTACATTACAAGAGTATCTAATGTACAGTACTTAAAATACTATCCTTCTTTTCATGTCCCTTTTTACTGTAACTTGAACTAAATCTTATACCCTGTATTCACTAAGAATCTTAGAGAGAACTTAAGCAATTTTAGAAACTCACAGAAAACAGCAAATACTGTACTGTAATACTGTTCTGTAGATATTGTAAGACAAGCCTTAAAGATTGTGACTGACAACCTTGTATTTAAATAGTTTTCCTGTTCAGTTGTATTATGCAATTTGATGTTGCTGCAGTAAGAGGATTTACAGTATGCATATTGTACTACTGTACTGTACTGCCTTGTCAGTGCTAGTTGTAAACCTTGGTTCACATTAGGAAAAGTTTAAAGGCTTAGTTCTGTATTATTTATACACCAGTTTTGTTATAATTATATTTACTGCTAGATATAAACTACATTGCTGATGTGATGGATGTAAGGTTCATCATGAATGGTTATAATTATATTTAGTCTTGAATTGTTATTTTGGAGGCCATGGAGTCTAGGCAAGGATAATCTGCTAACCCACAACCCCAAGAAAAGGTGTCAACTAATATTATGTTTTTGGTAATTTTATATAAAACGACTGCCTCTGTTACTATGCCACATATTTTAATAGATATAAATGCCCTGAAAGTTGGTAGCTCAATGAGCAAATATTAATATTTAGAAATATTTGAAACTTGAACCTCAAAATGTACCGGTAAGTTGTTTATTGATGTACAGTAATTGAAAAGTATAAAATTACACATGCAGTACAGTACTGTGTAAGGTTCTTAAAGTTCAAGGTTCTGTAAGCTTACCGTCCGTTTCTCCTGACTTGTCAATTAAGGGTAAATACCCTGTACTTCTCTCAAGAGCCTTTTTAGAAAACCGTGTCTTCTTCTGTAGTTAAATAACCCATTCCTAGGGATCTCTACTATATTATAAAAAAAAAAAAAAAACCTATTGAAAACATATACAGTACAGTACATTAGTTGTTAAAGCGACATAGGTGGAAGAGATTCTGAATTACAGTTGTTGGGTTTATTAGTGATTTCCCTTAATTTTGTAATGGTTCAGTACAGTACGTTTTGTAGAGTTGATCTAGCTTAGGTCTCTTAGTGTCCCAGTTGCCTCTTAGTTATTTTGCTGATAGTCATATGATATATTTATGGCTGCACTGGCAGTATAAGCATTGGTGTAGACTATAACTTGACACTTTTGTGCTCTGTACACTAGCTGTTGGCAATCACCATTGCATGTGATAAGAAAGATGCCTTGGGTGATGCTTTGTCTTCATCATAGTGGCTTTATGGTGTAATATATTTAATAAGACATCTTCAGACTACTGTATATTCTGACAATTATTGTGTGTTTGATATACTGTATGGTTCATTACTGCTATGGTGCATCTGGCTCTCGTAAAGTAACAAATGGTGTATGTTGTTTTGCAAATTTTATTATCTAAATGATATAACTTCAATCCTAAAATCTCCTTTTAAGTCAGTAATCACCACACACTGCTTCTGGTAATGAAGAAAGTCTTCAATCCATGCTAGAGGATTCTTCCCCAAAATTTTGTACCCTTCCAGTTTAATTTTTAGTGTTTCATGGGGTATGCTCTCTTGTATTTTTGTGGTGAATTCTAATATGTGTGTCTGGAACATTTGTAACAAAAAGCTTGAAGTAGACCCTAAGTCATCTGTGTAAAGCCTGAAATACAGAAATCTTATGTATAATATAAATTGCTTCATTTATTGTTTCCTCCTCAAAACTAACCAGGCCCACACATCAACACATCATGAGATTTTCTGTGTTGTTAAATAAAAGCAGGAAAAATACTACTGTTTTGATCATTACAGATAGTAATGCTGTTAGTAGGAGACCAAAAAACATTACAGGGTATTAGACTACTGCTCATTTAGTACAAGTGGTGATGATTAAGAATTTCATGCATTTTAGAATACAGTAGTGTATCCCATAAGCAAGTTATTTAGTGTTTTCCTGTGAATATAAATGCACTTTATCAAATAAATTTTCTTACCGGGTATTTTTTTAAAAAGGAGAATGAAATGACAACAATTGCTCTTAATCTGAGATAAAATATTTACATTCCTATGTTAAACAGCATTTGTATTTTTATCAACAAACAGTATGTGTTTTGTTGACCTGTCACAACTGTCAAGGGTAAATGAAGTTGTGAGACTTTGATATGTTTGCTTCATAACATGCAATTTTATTTTCTGTAGGAGATTACATAGCACGTACTGTACTGCCCTCCCATTAAGCTAAGTTAGCATAACTTAACTTTATCACCTACTTAATCACCCTAACCTAATCCTCACCTTACTTAATCACCCAAACTTAATCCTTACCTTACTTAATCACCCAAACTTAATCCCTACCTTACTTAATCACCCTAACCTAATCCTCACTTTACTTAATCACCCTAGCCTAACCACAGGAAGGAAAGTACGTATACCAGTACCATGTGACTTACTGCAGCTAAGTACAGTTAACAAATATATTATCCCTTATTTGGAAAATACTGTCCTGTATATGCCAAATCCTCTTTTATTATACTGCAGTAATTTGACTTACGGATGTTTACAATACTGTATGTATACTGTACTGTACAGTATATTAGATGCAGGTTGTATTTAATCTCATGATTTTAATTATATTTATGTCAATGGTGTTGGGATATCATAAAATTACACGTAGCCTACTTTTAAACATTGTACAGTGAGTACCTAATTATTATGGCTATACTGTATGTCACTTATTACCATTGTTTATTTATACAGAGTATTGTGAATAAATTATTATTAGGTGTCAAGTAGGTGATTTCTGCAGGTCCTGTACATGCAGTTGATGATCTGTTCAGCTTTATTATAACATAAAACTTTATTGTGTTTTACTCATACTTTATACAGCTGTACTGTACTTATTTTGGGGTAACAAGGTGTCTGTCTACATAACAACACACAGTATACACTAACAAAGAATAATATTGAAGAATACAGTACAGAATGTATAAAGAATCATAATTTTGCATAAATGCCTATGTCGAAGAAGGCTCTTAAGCTTTGCAATATAGGGTGGTTAGCACTAAATACAGTAGTACTAAGACCAAAGTGATCTCATGGATGCTCAGTATTCAGTATGGAGATACAGTTCATCTAGTGGCAATAGTTTTCCATATTTAATTTAGCTTCAGGTTAATTACAATATTTGGAGTTTTACATTAATGGCAACATTTGTCATTTTAATTTCTTTGTACCATTCCAGCATAATTCATATTATATGTACACTCGCCACAAAAAGTTCTCTAACAGCTGGGCACGACAAATTTCAGAATGAGCACTATGGCTCCTGTCCTCTCAAATGCTCTAAGGGTCATACAATATGACAAAACACATGAGAAATCTGAACATTGCCCTCAGAAAGCAATGTTCACATTTCTCATTCATTTTGTCATATTGTATGACCCTTAGAGCATTTGATAACTTTTTGTGGCAAATGTACTGGTAAATAAAATTTCCAGTCAGATAATTTTGTGCGAAAAGCCTTGAGATTAATGAGTTTTGTTTTATCTGCACTCTTGAGAATTATTGACAATCAAAACAGTCATAAATGCATTTTATTATTGTTGATATGTTTGGCACCAGTATTTTTAAACATAACTGTAACAAAGATGGACAGAGTTATCATGACAATAATATGCCTGTACTGTACACTGTATGTGAATTTTCATGTGCTAATAATATATATTTTCTTTGGAATTTAGTGAAAACTGTGTATCATAGGGTATACAGTACAGTACAGTACAGTACTGTACTTTATTAAAGAAAAGTGATTTATTAGTAAGCAGTTTCTATCCAAAATTAAGTTTATATTCAGACCAATAATGTTTTATATTTAGAGATCCATCTCAAAATACCCTTGTTATATTGAGATGTTGGTCTATCATCATTTTTGTTTGTTGGGCACTAGTGAGTTTTTCCTCCTTTAAAAAGAACTGGTGCTCTAGAGATAAAACATCAGCTAATAGTATGTGTGTATATCAGGGGCAGATCCAGAATTCTGAGAAGAGAGATTTCTATCTCGAGGATGAACACATGAAGTTTTAACTTGTATGGAAAAAAAAATTATGGGAATAAAGTAATATATATAAACTAGAGTCATTACTTATGTTACAATTCAAAAGGAAACTTCTCACCTGAATCAAAGGAGATGTGAAGGAAACTGACGGTTCCGTTCATTCCCTCAAACTCCTCTGGATCTGCTTGCTGTGGAATCTGACTTTGGTATCATACTGTATATCATTTAGACAACCTAACTGAATTTCTTGTAAACCTATCTCATTCTGTATTGTTTGGTAGACATTGATTTTCATATACCTACACACCTACTTTCTCTCGTCTTCAAACTTTCCTAATAGAAATGTATCTTATACTGTATTTTTATTGATTCCCTTATGCTACAGTGTATAGGCAGTCCCCGACTTACGACGGGGTTAGGGACCCAAATCCAGGTCGTAAGTCGAAAATGCGAAAATAATACATAGAAAATCTAAAATGGGTGTCTCTTTTTCTTCTCAGCACCACAAAACTCTCACTTTTAAGCTTACCAGCCATTTTAAAGGGAATTACAAACAAAAATTTTGTCAGTACACAGCGCAATCACTAATGTCGGGACTTGAAAATACGTAATTTGAAAAAATTTTGGTACGACTGGGGCGGTCGTATGTCTGGGTGGTCGTAAGTCGAGGAGTACCTGTACATGAACTAAAACAGTGGAACAAGTACAGTAGTCAGTATTATGGGGTATCATAAAGGTTAGGTGTCCCAGTTTTACCAATATGAAGTTTATGCACTCCGGCATTACTCAATGTTCCTAATGTTCATGAGTAGTACAGTACAGTCTTCTCGACTTACGACGGGGTTCCGGACCGACGATCAGGTTGTAAGTCGAAAAGGCGAAAATAATACATAGAAATTCTAAAATGGGTGTCTCTTTTTCTTCTCAGCACCACGAGAACTCTCACTTTTACGCTTGCCAGCCATTTTAAATGGAATTACAAACGAAAATTTTGTCAGTACACAGCGTGATCACTAACGTCAGGACTTGAAAACACGTACAGTACAGTAATTTGAAAAATATTTTATACACCCATGGCGGTCGTATGTCCGGGTTGTTGTAAGTCGAGTATGTCGTAAGTCGAGAAGTACCTGTACAGTGATCCCTCGGTTAACGAACACCTCTGTTAACGAAATTTCGGTTAATGAATTACCTTCCATAAGAATATTCAAATCGGTTAACGAATTCCTTATGAATTTTTCCAACATGTTTTCGCCTGCTTACCAGCTGTAGTATTAATCCGCCAATACAGTAATCGGTTTTAGGGCTTAAATTCGTTACCATTTGAGTAAATATCAAGAAGGTTGTACTATTCAATAATTTTCCTAGCCTTTTAACAATTATTTGACATAATTGTAGTACAGGGAACTAGTTTTTAGCGCACCAAACAGCCACTTGACTCGCCCAGAATGGCGTCAGCTTGTGTTTCTGCTCAGTGGAGGAAGCATCTTGCTTGAGACTTTCTTGAATATAAACTATTTTTACGTTTTTACAGTACTGTACAATTATTGGTCATTCTGAAATTTATTTTACATATTGACAATATATAATGCACTGCAGTGTTGATTTAAAGAAAAAATCTTGAATTACACCAAGTGAACTAAAATTTTATGGGTGAAATGGCGGCATGAAGCATGGGGTGACTTCTCTTCCACCCCAATGCCTTCTCGTCTTCCTTCTCCTCCACCCCCATTCTAATTCCCATCATCATCATCAACCTGGAGCCTTCTACATGCACACCTCAAAGTAAGTGTACTTTAGTTTATTTATTTTTAGTTTGTATGTAATTTTCGGTGAGCTGGAACGAATTACTGTCCCCAAAATCTCATTGAAACAATGGTTTCGGTTAACGAACGACCTTCTGGAACGAATTGTGTTCGTTAACCGAGGGACCACTGTACTTAATTTTTTCATGAATACAAATACTATTCATCATAACATGATGTATATGAATGTTTTTAAAAATTATTAATTAAATATTAAGTAGAATAATCATAATCACAATACAGTAATAATTTAAATAATCCTCATTTGTTAATCCTAATACAGTATGATTCATATTTAATCCTATAATTTATCTTAATATAATTCATAATTTATTTTATATAATTCATTCACCTTTATATATTTCATAATATATTCCTATAATAAATACACTTTCTAATATAATTTTTATATAGGACGATTTTTAGCTATAGTCATCCAAGTGGGATTGTGATTGCTGTTTTTGGTATCACAGTATACAGTAATTGTTTTAATTAAGTTCATGAACTCTTTTAAGTGGCTGGGTTTGATGTAAACATTTATAGCTGTTTTCTTGGGTTTATTGTAGAAGAAGCTATATATTGTACACATATGAAGTGTTGTGAATGCACTTTGAGATAACACTGGAGTTACGTGTCTCTTCCCTGTTCAAGTGATAAGAATCTACTGCCACTGGCCTCTTGTAGTGGACGTCTCCCCTACAAACTGCGTATCGCATTCCAATGTGCCGCCTCCCCTAGCAACCAAGCGAGAGCTGTCCCCAGATGTTACCGTATCTTAGCAACGGAACTAGTCACCGGCTACTTCTCGGGTTTTCCCAACATGACTCATAGAGGACTGGCGGCTGCTGCTGGGTGTATATAAGCTCTGTCTCTCCATTGAGATTCACTCTGCCCATTTTCCTGAACAAGCAACATCTCCTCCAGCAAGCTCCACGCTGTTAACATTTCATTCAACCAGGAGGCCAGCAACAGGCAACATCTTCTCTAACGAAGCTCCTGCACATCTCCTCACCTTCAACAAGCTACTCACCGCACGTCTCTACCAAGCAGCCCCTCACCACACAGCACCTCCAGCACCAGACTGTCTATCATATAACTTATATATTATACAAGAAAACCACATTAGAGTTTACTTCCATCCTGAGTGCTAGACAACTTTAATATCTCGATACCCCTACAATGGTGACTCCCGGAGATAAGCACTCACACAGGATGGAGGACGGACGGATCTCTCTGCCGATTTTCAACCACAACGTTGAGGACTGGCTTGACCATGTGGAAGCAGCCCTCGCCGGTTCACGAGCTACCGACGGACAAAAGTATTGCGCCCTGCTTTGTGCCTTACCCACGGAAGTGGCCACGCGGGTCTCACAAACCATTTCCAACCCTCCAGATCACAACAAATTCGCTACCCTGCGGGCTGCCTTGAAGACGTGTTATCAACAGACCAGCCCCAATCTCCTGCAAGATCTATCCTCTACCTCCCTCGGGAACTCAACCCCGGGACGTCTCTGGGAGGAGATGTGTCGGCTGAACTCCCGTCACACAGACAGACTCCCCGACTCTATCCTGCGCCAGCTTCACGCACAAAAGCTACCCACAGAAGTACGCAACATCCTGTCCGCAGTAGATTACTCTACGACACCGGAACTATATGCAACCGCGGCAGATAGAAATTTTAACGAATGCGCTGCTGCACCCCTTGCCGCCACGGTCACACCAGTACCTACCATCGAACTTGTAAGCCGGGTCAACACCCCTCAGCCGAGCAATACCTCACAAGACATCAAGGACCTGTTGCAAATTTTGAACCGCAGGATGGACACCATTGAGCAGTTCTGCTCCTCCATACCCGCTGCTGCGCCGGTTCCTGACTCACACACTACGCCCTACAAGTTCCGACACACAGCAGCCAACCCCCAGCACAACAAATTTACCCTCTGCTGGTATCACCAGACTTTCGGCCGCTATGCTCGAAACTGTGAGCCCTATTGCACCTATTCGGGAAACGGCAACACCGGAGGCTGGTAGACGCCTCAGCCTCCGTCCCTCCAGGCGTCTCATTACTGCGCGTCACCGACCGCACCTCCGGCAAGAAGTTCCTCATCGACACCGGTTCATCGGTCAGCCTCATCCCTCCCTCACTACGAGACAAGTCAAAGCAACCCTCGTATGACCTGTTCGCTGCCAACGGTACCTCCATCGCCTCCTACGGCGTACGCACCCTCGCCTTAGACCTCGGTCTGCCCAAGACTCTGCGTTGGTTATTCGTGATAGCAGACGTGTCTCAACCCATCCTTGGTTTCGACTTCCTCACCTTCCACAAGCTCGGCGTCAAACCAAGTCATCTATGCCTCATTCATGAGCCTACAGCACGCAAGATCCAGGGTTCTCGTGCCAGACACACGGACGCTATCACCTGTCTTGCGCCTTCCAACGAGTTCTCCTCCCTGCTCGACGAATTCAAGGAGCTTTTCTCACCCCGAGTCTCCCTACCCCCACCACCTACGTCGGGAATTTTCCACCACATCGAAACCAAAGGACCACCAGTCTTTTCACGCCCTCGCCGCCTGCGCCCTGAGCTCCTGTACACAGCCAAAGCAGAATTCAACAAACTACTGCAAGACGGCATCATTCGCCCTTCAAGGAGTCCCTGGGCATCGCCTCTTCACATGGTTCCTAAGCGAACACCCGGCGAGTGGAGGGTGTGTGGCGACTACAGAGCCCTGAATCTCGTCACCAAACCTGACAGGTACCCTATTCCGCATGTCCAGGACTTTCACCACAAACTTCATGGCAAGACTATCTTCTCGAAGATCGACTTGGAGCGTGCCTTCCACCAGATCCCAGTAGCACCGGCAGATACCCAGAAGACAGCCATCACCACTCCGTTCGGACTCTTCGAGTACACTTTCATGAGTTTTGGCTTACGCAATGCAGCACAGACTTTCCAGAGGTTCATGGACCATATGCTTCGCGACCTCGATTTTGTCACCGTCTACATTGACGACATCCTCGTCGCATCTTCGACGCCTGCCGAGCACCACCACCACCTACAACTCCTTCTCCAACGCCTGCAGAACAACAACATGAAAGTTCATCCTGCTAAGTGCGTCTTTGGAACCTCGGTCATCGATTTCCTCGGTCACAGAGTCTCGCCCAGTGGCATACAACCCCTACCACAGAAGATAACCGCGATTAGGGAGTTCCCCAAACCTGAAACGGCGAAGAAACTCCGGGAGTTCCTGGGTTTAGTCAACTACTACCACCGCTTCATTGACAAAGCTGCCACCGTCCTAGCCCCCCTACACGACCTTCTCAAGGGACGCCCAAAGAAGTCTCACAAGTCTCTCATGTGGACTCAAGAGGCTACTACGGCATTCACCACTATCAAACAGCACATCACACGCCTCACCCTCCTGGCCCACCCCGCACCTAACGCCCGGACCACTCTCACAACAGACGCTTCTTCTACTGCAGTGGGCGCCGTCTTACAGCAGGAGATCAACGGAACTTTCATGCCCGTTGCTTTCTTCTCACAACGGCT